GCATTCTCTCACTCCAGCTGGGCTCAGAGCTTCAAAGAAATAAACCGGTAATGCCGCAGCCAGGCAAGGAACAAACACACGTCCCCTGCTGAGCCCAGGGGTTCCCCACCTTGGCTCCACATCAGTATGACCTGGGGAACTTTTAAAAATCCTGATACCCAGCGTGCGCTCAGACCAATCAAGTCAGAATCTCTGGGGGTGGGACCAAGTATCAGTATTTTTAAAAATAGATTCAAGACCAATTCACAGGAAGCTCAGATCTACTATTGATTACAGTGATCTGAGTGGTTTAACAGAAGAGAAAACAGATTATGACTTATCTACTTTACAAGTACCAAGTAATCACCAATAAAGAACTCACTATTCCTCTAAGCAATTGTAACTATGCCATTAATTTTCCTATAAGTGCATTCAACCATTCCTCTACTTTGTTAATTTACTTTTACTTTCACAGAACGGTGAAACATATTATCTGCTAACAGATAATCAAGAGTTGCTTGTCATACCTCCACAGCCATTATTCCTACTCTCATAAAAATAACCAACCTCACGCTTTCATATTTCATTTTAGATCATTTCATAAACTCTATAATTAATCCTAGAGCTTCAGATGTATAGTAAGTGCCATGATATGCCCTGATATGTGTATTCATTGGATTTGCATTTCTATTCATATCGTAACTACATCCAGACTGCACCTGCAGATTCCCTGTATCAGCAGCTGTCTGAAATGCACACATTTTTGTTCCTACTTTAATGCAGAACTCATTTAGTTTCTATTTGAAAGCAGATGCTTGAAAATACATTGCAATCAGTGTGGTGACACACAAGACCCCATCGACTGTCCTTTATCTCAATCTTGTATAGAGTTAAAGCTCCCGCCACAGAAAAGGGCTCTTATTTTTCTGATGGATGGTCACTGGTCCACCCCCGCCCCACTCCCCAACAAACAAAGTTTCCTGTAGCTGCTCTGATTCCAAGAATGATCTAGACAGGATTCATAAGCAGATTTACCAGGAAGCCTAAGAGGCTTAAGCTTCAGGGCCTCTCAATGTGTGTGAGCCTCTTCTAAAGCCCTAAGAGGTACCCTAACTGTTTATATTTGGAATTTTATATTCTTTCTCTTGAGGCAAACTGTATAAGAGCTAGACCCCACAAATTTTGGATCTATCCATAAGTGAGCCTAATGTAACTTGGAGGCCAATCAGAAGGCAATCACTAAATAAACTGTTAAATCTTTAAAATGTGATACTAACAAGAATAGGTTTAGGGTTGCAACTGTACCCACAGAATTAGACTTTCCTTCCTTGCCAAAAGAGGTACTATTGTTGATCTGCAAGCAAAGATGGAAGGAAGAGATTCACCCTACTTTGGAAAGGGGAAGCCCTAGATCCTAAAAGGAACCAGGGAGAAAAACCCCAGGCTTTGCCACTGTGTGTGAAAATTAGGCACAGCCCCAGGGTAGGGCTGGCCATCTTATGAAAATCCCAGGTCAACAAACAACAGGTGCTGGCGAGGCTGTGGAGAAAAGGGAACCCTAGTACACTGTGGGTAGGAATGCAGACTGGTGCAGCCACTGTGGAAAGCAGTGTGGTATTTCCTCAAAAAGCTGAAAATGGAACTGCCTTTTGATTCAGTGATTCCCCTGCTGGGACTCTATCCTAAGAGTCCCAAAATGCCAATACAAAAGAACCTATGCACCCCAATGTTCATAGCAGCACAATTTACAATAGCCAAGTGTTGGAAGCAACCTAAATACCCATCAGTAGATGATTGGATCAAAAAACTATGGTACATATACACAATGGAATATTACGCAGCAGAAAGAAAAAAAGAACTACTAAACTTCGCGACAGCATGGATGGAACTGGAGAGCATCATGCTAAGCGAAATAAGCCAGGGGGCGAAAGACAAATACCATATGATCTCACCTATAAGTGGAACCTAACCAACAATACAAAGATGCAAGGAAAATAAGACCAGCAACACTGAAAGGAAAAGAAATCAACAGAGACAAGAGGGAAGGAGGGAGCGGGGGGTGGGGAAAAGGAAGGGAAGGGGAAAGTCAAGGAACATATAGCAAGGACTCATGGACAAAACCAAAGGGGAAGAGCTGAGGGAGGGAAGGAGAGAGGGGGCAAGGGAAAGTGGTGGGGGGTAGGCAGAGACAAATGTATTTGAAAAAATAAATTTAAAAATAAATAAATAAATAAATAAGAAAATCCCAGGTCAGCTTCCACAAATAAAATTAGCTTTCTCTGCCTTCAGGGCCAGCCAGGAGCATCTTCTCTGGCCTCTTTGCAAAGAAAATATTCTGTCTACTCTCTTGCCAAATTTGAAAGTCCCTTAATGTAGTAAGAAAACCTTCCAAGCAATAATTAAAGAGAAATGGCTTAACATGCAAATACCAGGAGCGAATATTTGAAAGCATTGTCATTAATTGACAGTTCTAACGATGAGTTGTCAGATTCCTGTGGCATTTGATAGGGGCAGAGGTAGGGGGATGGAGAAGGGAGAGAACTAAAGCAAGAAGGGACAGGAAGAGGAGCCTGAAACACTGAAAGGCACCCTGCAGGCTGCAGGGCGTGGCTGGGCGGTACCTGTGTCCTGCTCTGGGCCAGGACACAACAGAGCCTTGCCACCAGGTGGCCCATAGTGGCGCCGTACAAGAAGACAGGAGGCCCGCGAAGACTGATAGAAGCCTTGAGGTGTTCACCTGTTTACACAACCTTCCCTTCTGCTTGTCTTTACAACTCTCCAGGTTCTAGAGCACATTCAGGTCAGCAACACCTCTGATTCAGAGAGTGGATGCAAAGTCCAGTTTGGGAGTTAACCATTATTTAGCACTGCCATCCTTTGAACACCTGTCCATCTGGATCTAGCCCTTTCCTGAGCAGCACCATGCTCTCCCTGGGTAGCCAGTGAGTCCAGATCATCTTAGAACTTTCCTGTTTCTACTCCTACTCCACCTTCCTCAGCAACCTATGAAACCAGGCTCTTCTGCCAAGTTCTCCCAGGCAGGCGGAACCCCCTGCAGGGCCAGTGCCTCCGAGTGGCTAAGCCCCAGAAACATACTGGTCCCTATTCCAAAAGAGACATTCCTCTTTCTTACCATCATTTGCCACTAAAAACTGACCCACGTGCAACTTGCTGCCTTGTAGCAAGACCACAGACCCTGTCACATACAGCCCTTTGTTTTTTATTCCTAAATTTGAATCATTTTGCTCCAGACCACATTACAGGCAACATCAAGAGCACTTTAAGAACAGGATTGAGCTACTCTGTACTGAGCAACATTGGGTCAGGCCGCTGGTCGCCCCTCCTCTACCAGCTCGCTGAGGAGGACTTTCTTCCTGAGACTATTTCAGCTGTGATGGGAAGTAGGAAGAAAGGCAGCAGAAGCAGCATGTGCAGATAGTGAGGAAGACTTGGCTTTTTTGGTTACTTTACCCCTTGCTCCATTATTCCAGGACAAACAAAAGTCAGAAAGCCATTCTCTGAAGCTCTTTAGAACTCTGCTGCAATTTCAGGTGAAAAGAAAAGGACCTTCTGCTCCAGCAAATGGGAAATGGGCTCATCACGAATTAACCAAAAAGCTATTTCCCTCACAAACCATATTTAAAATATGAAACCTGTGAGGAAGCTCTGAACTTCATTTTATCCAGACAGACTAGATTGCAGGAACAAAAGACAGGAGAAGGTCTTAGCAAATCACAACTGATAACTAACTCTACTGAAAGCACGGTGAAGATTCCTTTATTATTTCACCAAGAAATGCTCATTATTACAGAATATAGTCAACAGTAGAAGTCAGATGGATTGGCGAAATACTATTACCTTTATAGGCTGTTTTGGATTATGCTGATGAGACTTTGGGGGGAAGATTTAGGGAACGTTTGGGGCAGAAAACACCCCCGTTTGCCTGACCATATCCAATGCAGTGAGTGTGGCAAAGATATGAAAGAAGTAGGATGTGGTCAATCTGCAAATATTTCCATTCAGATGGAATACATACAATTATGGTAGTTCATGTTCATTATAGAACATCTCTCGTTGTTCTTACTTAACATAGAAAGAATTCACACAGATAGTAGCTACTAGTTACTACTGTTGAATATAGGTTCATGGGCTTTGGAAATGTCCTCCTTTGTGGTAGGTGAACAATAGTTCTCGATCACTCGTGATTCTGCAAAGGATGATGATTGGTACCCACTGGGTTAGTTTAGGTTAAGACAGTCACAGCAACAAGACTGCTTAAGCCACATACAGATTTATTTGAACATAATGTCCTCTTGCATGTGAGAGAAGAGGACTGAGACAATGAATATGATTTTCACCTATTAAAATGCTGTGCTTTTAAGTATTTCTGTTTTACCCTGAAAATTAACTAACAGCAACTTAGAGGGCATCATGGAGCTACTGAAAATAAATTATGAGTCAGCTAAAGCAATAGTTCCCTCCTCCATTCCCCCCTCCACAGACTCCCCTCCCACCTTGCAGATGCTTTTAGCATTGTACTCAACTAAAAGGGAAATACATGTTCTCAGTCATATAGCTAAAAAGGTTATCGAACTCCATAAAACACCATGGGAGAAACAACACATCCTTCTCTGATACCGAAGTTCTCAAAAGTGTCACCCATAGGCCACCTGTGTGGGACTCACCTCAGGTGTTTATTTAAATGACAGTCTCACCCCAGACACGCTTACACTGGCAGTGGGGATCTGCACTCTTTTTTTGTATTTTGTTTTTCAATTACAGTTGACAAACAATATTATATTAGGTTCAGGTGTACAACATAGCGATTGGACATTTACGTACCTTACAAAGTGGTCACCCTGATAAGCCTAGTACCCACTTGGCACGATACATAATTACTGCAATGTGGGCATCTGCGTTCTTCACAAGCTGCCCAGTGTATCTCATGGGACTGGCAGGCAAAGATCACTGATCTAATGTAACTTGCCATGTGTCTGTGTTTAGCTGCTGTCCCTACTCACCCGGCGGACTCCCGTGTCCTGCTGCAGCTGTGGCAATCGCAAAAGCAGAAGCAGGCGAAACAGGGCAGTGGGGGCTGTCAGCCATCTGTCCTGGTGATTTAAAAAAAGAATGGAGATGAATGGAATGGCATGGTGAGGCAGATGGATAAGATTCTATAATGAAATTCTCATTTTCATTCCTGTGCTGGATGAACAATTGGGCCAAATGCTTTGTATCTTCCTTATTAGCAGGCAAATAATAAGATTCTGCATCAGCAAGTTCACTCTAGATGTATACCCAAGAGAACTATAAACATGTCCTTGAGTATCCATGGCAGCATTATACTTGGCTATCCATATACTTATACTTGAGTATCCATAGCAGCATTATTCATAACAGTCAAAAAGTAGAAACCACCAAACGTCCATCAAGTGATGAGTGAGTAAACCAACTGTGGTATATCAATACAAGAGAATATTATTTAGCCACAAAAAGGATTTAGCCACATATACACTACAACATGAATGAAATTTGAAAACATTATGCTAAGTGAAAGTCACAAAAGGTCATATATTATATGATTTCATTTATATTAAATGTCCAACATAGGTAAACCTATAGAGATAGAAAATAGATTAATGGTTGCCAGGAAATGAGGGAAAATAAAAATGAAGAGTGGCTGACAGGTACAGGGTTTCTTTTGGGGGGTGATGAAAATATTCTGAAATAAGGTAGTGGTTATGGCTGCACAATGTTATGAATATGTTAAAAGCCACTAAACTGTATACTTTAAGAGTATGATCTTTATGGTATGTGAATTTATATCTTAATATGAAAAGTATTTGTTAATATTCTATATCATGTTACCAATAGAATTTTCCTCTCAAATCACCTTTAAAAGTAGGAGTGCATTTTAAAATCCATGTCACCCCAATAAACTTAATTTAAAAAATGCACCTTCTTGCAGTCCCTCTCACTCCTCAGATATTTTACACACAGCATTGGATAACGTTAATGCCAAACTCACTCTTTTTCCTCCCTTCAGCTTTTAGTGCAAACAGGTCACTGTGACTGTGACCTGAAGGGCTTTCATCAGTTTGCCCCTGAGTTCTACAGCCATGCTTAAAATAAACAAATAAAGAAATAAGAGGGGGTGCCGAGAGCAGGTAAGGTGCCCATGCATGAGAGCACAGAACAGCTTTACCATCTCCTTCATCGGTAGCCTTAAAACACCTATGGAACAAGGTGGCAAGTAGTCAGATAAACAGGCAAAATTTCAGGTACACAGTGAGAAAACGTGTGGTACTGTTTCTATTTGGATCCTCCATATTATTATAGATTTTAGTTTCCTGCCTATGTTCCTATGTCTCTATGATTTAGTCATTTCAAGGAAGAAACAAAAGGCTTAGATAATCCACAAACAGGATGTGGATTTCTAAAAAATGCTTATATCAATTAAAATTTTTATATATGAATATAAACATATGAAAATAGAGACCTAATAACAGTAACCAAGTGAACAGCATTTAACTCTTGCCTTGTAGAGCTTTGTTTCCATGGACTTTGATCCTCAACTTTTCTGAGTTATGATGAACTCATGGAGGATCTGTCCCATGAGCAATGGTCAAAAAAGTTGCCAAGGCCCAGATTGATCAGGAGTCTAAGAATGGTAAAGAGACTTGACTAATTATATAGTAGTCTTTTGACATGTCAAAATCTGGTTTGTCACCTTCCTTTACCAGACTACGCAAGACCCATAAGTGACCAGCAGCCTGAAATCAGTCCACTCCCCAAGGGCTACCACCCATCATGGAAAATCAGACAACAGCCTGACCCAGGCTAGCTGCTCTTGGAGCTGATGGCAGTGATGACAGCTTTCACCATGTGGCTAAGGTTATAAATGAAATGACTGCAGCCATGCATGTTACTCTATCTTTTACTAAACTGACCTACTTGAAGCACAAATAGTGAAGCCAAAAACGTCTTTACATTTTACTTCAGTTACTTGGGGTGAATCTGGTTTCATAATTGTATGTTTTCCCCTTCCAACCTCAAATAATTGGCTTGAAGAGAAAAAAAGGAACATTTCAAAATCAACTCTTATTTAGACATATTTATTTGAGCAGTGGGGAAAATGAGGCAAGAAAAGATTTCTATCTTCTGTTCTTACGGTTTTTCCTCCATAGGATATTTCCTATGTTCTACAATGAATGAATGGATAATATTGGGTATGGCCAGAGTCCATTTAGTTTTTTTCTGTAAAATAAATGACATATTTTTCATTTTCACCAATAAGTTTATTGATTTGGATATTTTGAACATGGTAGCTCTCTCCCACTATTGGCTTCTAGTGGGTAGAGGCCAGTGGTTCTGCTAAACATCTTCCAATGAATAAGAAAGCCCCACAGCAAAGAATTATTTGGCCAAAATGTCAATAGTACCAAGAAACTTCACAAACCACTTTTGACATGTTCACTCAGTCACATACATTGCACAAATCTTTTCTTGTGTTTCAGTTGCCTTTTACCTTTCTTGAAATAATAAAGCATATGCCCAAAATGTTGAGTATCTTCCTCCACCTTCAATATTAAAATGGCTGCATAAAAATTCACCAATTTTGATAAGTTTTTTTAAATGCACGCTGACATGACAGCTGTCACAACACAATCTAACAAAATTGTTTCAAATTAAGTTAAAGACAGTGAAGTGCTACCAGAGCCATTGGACTGAAAAAACTAACTGAACTTTTGGCCAACCCAATACCTTACAAGTTTCATAACTATAGATAATATACTGGATTCTGCCTCTAGCAATAATGATTAGGGTCCCATGCAGCTGTACCTTTTTTTTAGATTAAATAGTGCCCTTAATAAGCTTACCCCCCAAATTGTGGTGTCCCAGATGAGCCTATCTGATACAGATTCATGGTAAGGTATAATAAGATTCCAAGATTCTTGTTTGAAATTGAGATTCTTCAAATAGCAGTCAGCTGGTACAGGCCTTTTATTCATGTCACTCCACAGAGAATGTGATCCAATAATGGGGTCACACCAATATTGGTAGTACTACTGGCATATTCTCTAACCATTTAGTGTCCCACTACTTGGTCCAATAGTGACATTATTTGCTTCTAATTTTCATAGCTGAGACAGTCAGGCATACAAAAGATTCAAAAGCTCAAAACCATCTTTTACTTCTTTGTTTCTGAGTCCCTCTCCGAGCCCTCACCTCCAGGCTGGCGATAGCGAAGGTGCCGAGGGGTGGAGGGTGACCTGCAAGGTGAGAGTTCTGTGGCGTCCGCCGTGGGGGAGCTCTCCGCTCCGGCCCGGTCCACGGGCGCAGATTCCAGGACTGCTGTTTTAAAACATCATGAATTTTAATGAGCAGGCCATGAATTCAAAAGCTTCTTGTCAGTATCATGCATGGGAACACAAAAGTTTGTTATGGGTATTGAGCATTTCATACTAGCCTATGTTTTAGAGGGGTTTCATATGAAATTGAGTCATTCCTCCTGGCAGCCTGCTAATGACACTAAATCTAAATGAAGATCCTCTCTGCCCGTGTCTCGCTGACCCTGCTGAGCCTGGCTGACTCTGTGTGGCTCCATCTGTCCAGCACAGCAGCAGATGTTAAAAACAAACAGCAGATGTTAAAAACAACAAGGAAAGAGGGCCTTTTCCAGAGTATAAAATCAAACTGGGATCAAAATTGGGACTTCATTAGCTCTTCGCTTGGGTTGTCCCCTTAAGTCAACTAACATCTATGTCTCTATGAATGTAGCCTCCCAAGAAGCTCCTGGGGACTCCTAAGGATCTAGAGCTGTGCTGTCCAAAATGACAGTACTAACCAAAGGTGGTTATGGGAATTTGAATTAATATTAACTGAAGTTAAATCAATATTTCAAGTCCTCACTGACACTAGACACATTTCAAGTGCTCAGTAGCCTCCTGTTGGACAGCACGGATGTAGAGCATTTCCTCCTCCCAGAAAGTTCTGCTGGAGGGCCCTGACCCAGAGCGACACGTCAGCAGGAAGCAAGAGGAAATGTTTACAGTGAACATTTGGGAGGTTTTAAGATAATTTGAACCTCTTCACTGCAGCTAATATCCCATGAATAAAAAACACATCATTCTAGCTTAATACTTAAGCTATTACTGATGTTTCCATCTGGCTTGTTAACGAGGTAAAATGACAACTTTGTGTGTGTTCTTTCAAGGAAAAACACTACAAAAATTTCCTAAATTTCCAACAATTCTTCCATTTCTTTTCCTTGGGCTTTTCAGTAACCGATCAAAGCTGTGTCACCTCCACTGATTTTACGTTGCCCCTGTCAGCAGAAATACTCTCAACTTTACTCCCGCTGCCGCTCCATTCAAGATTTCATCCATAAACTTTACAAAATCCCTAATGACTTTATACAAAGCCATTTTTACACTAGCGTGTGATTTACTCCCTTAGAAATATGGCCACAAATCTGCCTTTCTGAAAGACAAAAGGCCAAGGAAGGGAAATAGTTAGACTCTTCCCTTGAATGACATAATTACAGGAAAGCTGGCAACTATGCAGGAGGCAGACAAAAAAAATCAGTGCTTAGCTGTTAGTTTTATTATCTTCCAAATAACTCCCTCAAAACTCAGTAATGGAAGGCATCTGCTCTGCAAGAACAAGCAGAATATCAAATACATGTCCTTATTCTGGTCCAATTCATTCCTCTGAGGCAAATGAGAAAATATATATAAAGAGAGAGAGAGAGAGAGAGAATCATTTAGTCAGCAATTACACTGAACCCAAAAAACTTCCCAGCAAAAAAAGCTGGACAGGCCTGAATGCCCCCCGAAAGGACAGGAAAGCTAAGAATCGCACTGGCAGTAAATAGACACCTATGAAGAGAAGAAACCATGCCAGCACGGTGGGGGCAAAGCAGCGTTTCCTTCTGGCTTGTTCACTTTTAATCGAGTTCCAAGCAAATAGCTTTGCCTGCAGGACGAGTGGGCAGATGTGGGTTCAAAACAAATGCTAAAATTGGGAGCACGTTCAGCCCACAGGCAGGCAATTTTGAAACCAAGAACACAGAAGCAGACACCAGTGACGTGGGTGGTGCAGCAGCGCTTGGAGTGGGCTGCACCGCCGAGGCCCACGTGAACGCTGACAGGGTACGAGCCCCCCGTCCAGCGAGCCTTGCCTGCCGCTGGTGTGATCCTCACGGAGCCTCCACCATCGGGGGAAATCTGGATGTGAGTGGGGCCGATATTTGCACTTTTTAGAAGAATGCAGGGCAGAGGTGGGACAAACAAGATAGCAAGAAAGGAGGGTGCTAATGAATGCTGGGTGAGCCTCAAACAGATCTAAAGACTGAGTTAATAAATTGCATAATTTTTCCTCAGAAGTTCATAGTCTCACTCATATTTAGGGATATTTCCTATTTCTCTTCTTTCTTTTCTTCTCATTTGAAGTTTTCCTGCCAGGAACTGCGGCAAGGCCAGCATTACAACCACGACGACAATAAAACTGGACAAAGGTCACTAGCATTCTTCAAAGGGTGCACCCTGAAAACTGCCTAGCCGAGCAGTGGGGAGAAAGGCCTCTGGCCTCAGCATTGACCCAATGGGCGAAGCTGGTCTCATGCAATGCGGTTGTGTGGAGTTGTGTCTGAAATGAAAAGCAAAGAATGTATAAACTGTTGGCATACGATTCTTATTCAAGTTTGCCAACTGTTTGAAAGTGTTAACATTATGCAAAGCACAAGCAAACATCTTTCAAATTAAAGACAGATCAGTGTCTCCCTTTTCTTTGCCAATTGGAATTTTCAAGACTAGACAGTAGAGTTAACATAACAGCACTCTTGGCTTCTACAGACGTTGTACGCACGCACACATGCACGCATGAACACACATACACGCAGTAAACTTGTCAGACTGATGCTCAAGTGAAGTGTCTCATCCCTGACTTTCCTAGAGCTATTTATGACCAAAGTTAATCGTATACCAATGCAAAATAAAGTAAAAAACCAAGTCTATAATTCCTTTGTTTCAGCATCAGAAAAATGCCAAAGAGCTCCCTAGCCCCCAGTATTAATTCTAAGCTTCCTACGTGCAGTGTTTCCTACGTGCAGTGTGACAAGGACACACAGGATAAATTGTTCTCGAGTCTCAGTAGGAAAAAAAGATCTGCACACCAATCTATCTTAGGTTTCATCAAGAGTCATGGAATTGATTCTGGGAACTCTGGGAACTGCAGAGGACCACACAATATTCATTTTTTCACTAACCGTACCCTTGGCCTCCCACAATTTTTCTTCATTGCCTAATTTCCTTGCCTATTTTATTTTTAATCTAGTTGTACCATGTGCCTGTTTGAATGACCACCTTAAAAGGTTTTAAGAAAAGATGGAAGTGAATACATTAAAAGTAACAAGAAGAAAACTACAGAAAGTGGAAAAAATAAAGATGCAAAGAAGTGGCCAAGATTACAGCAGTTAATGAACGTTCTGGGGGAAGTTGTGGTAAGAGGGAGAGAGATAAGGGAGGGACGTTAGTGGGTGAGCAGAGGCGCTGACATCTCTGGAGTGGAGGCTGGCTCAAATGCACTGGATCCAGTGCCATGGGCCTCGCCTAGATGCAACCTTGAACTTTCCCATCACCCCAAGTGAGAAGGGCTCTGCATTTAGCCATGACCTGGAACAGCAAAAACACATTTATAACCAATGAACCATGTGGATAAATGAATCCCTGGAAATCTAACTGAGCATCATGTGTTTTGAGGAAATCCAGTAAAACAGAGGCATTAAGCCCTCAACTTTAGCTATATCTCTAATGCAAGAGAGAACCTAGTACTTTTGCCACATTTTTATTCATGCTCTCTCCACCTGAGGCCCCTGGTAATAAATGATCAATGTTGCCACATGATAAGCTCTCTAGTCACCACTAGCTGTGTCCACAGTGTTCCCACCTCTGTCCAGCATCTGCTCTGACAGGTCTTTGCAGCCTTTGCCAGTGTCCTTCTCTGAGAGTTTGATCTAGTTCCTTCTCATTTATCTTGGCCTCCCCCATGTCTAACTTGCTCTGGGGAAAAATGTGCTGATTCCTACCAGTGACCACACCTCCATGCTAGACAGCTGGCCCAAACAGGCTTCATGATATAGTATTGGGCTATATACTCTGGGCTTGGGTTTTGAAAACCAAAACTAGGGAACTTGGCAACTAACATGAAAAAAAAAAACCTGTGTGTAACAAGTTAAAGTAAAAGAATTAAGTATGGTGGGAAATGGGCAGCTTTATTGAGGACCTCTAGAACTATGATATGTATTTAGATTAAAATGCAAAAAGAAATTTTTCTTTTGCTTCTCTGTTAAAGAAAAATTTAATATCCATACTACCAGGCTTTAACCACAAAAAAATAAAATCTCTGGGAAATTGCCAGAAAGAAGAAAAATTCTCACCACACACCCATTAGGAAGGACACTATTGAAAGAAGAGAAAATAGTAAGGGTTGACAAGGAAACAGAGAAATTGGAATCCTGCGCACCACTGGTGGGAATGTAAAATGGTGTAGCCACTATGGAAAAGATATGGAGGTTCCTCAAAAAATTAAATATTGAATTATCATATGATCCAGCAATCTCACTTCTGGGGGGTGATGTATATATGTATGAATTGAAAGTAGGATTTCAAAGATATATTTGCACTCCCTTATTCACCACAGCATTATTCACATATTTTCTTTACCTATTCTTCCAACAGACGTTTGCATTGCTCATTGTTTTCATCTTAATGGGAACTTCTGGCACATGCTACAACATAGATGAACCTTGAAACGTTATGGTAAGTAAAATAAACCTGCCACAAAAAGACAAACACTGTATGATCCCATTTACATGAGGTATCTAAAGTAGTCAAACTCTAGAAACAGGAAGCAGATGGCAGTTGCCAGGTGCTGGGGAGAGAGGGAAATGGAGAGGCATTTAATGGGCATAGAGCGTCAGTTTTGCAAGATGAAGAAGTTCTGGAGGTTAGTTTCACAGCAGTGCAACTATACTTAACAATACCAAATTATACACTTAAAAATGGTTAAGGTGGTAAAGAAGAAGGAAAGGGAGATGAAGAAGAAGGGTTTTTAGAAAAGTTTTTTTTTTCAAAGTTTCCTCAATACTAGAAAGCCCTAGGAAGACTAGTGCCAGGTTCTGCTCTGTAGGGCTGCACCCGGCGTCAGAACTAGACAAAACCTGTCCCGTCAGAAGCAACTGTGTCTCCTGCTCTCAGAAATGCCTTTCACCACTGGAGGTTACCACTAGCCCTTTGCTCATATGTTCGCCCATCTACAATCCACTTATCTATTCCTCTGGCTCATGCCAATGACATGTCCTGATTCCACTTGACCAGGCATGATCTCCTGTGTTTTTCACCCTACAGAGCACTCTGTCTATATCTCTTGTACTACCATTACAGTTAGGTGATATCTATCTTCTCTACATAACTAAGAGTACAAGGGGCTGGAGCACAGTGTCAATTTGCCTCTATGGACACTATAGCCGAGCAACCGCACAGAGAAGAACATGAAGCAATGACTCTTGAACAGGCCTACTGTGTTCTCATTCTAGCCCCAGGAGCAATCAAGCTGAAGCCCCCGAGACACAAATGTCTGACACTCACATGTTTATTCCTAAAGCTCTTGAAATCAAAATAACATGAGAATCTAGATCTATCTCCAGATTTCTCCTCCTCTATTTAGTGCAATCCAGTAAAAGAGAGAAGAACTTCCCCTATTCTGGGAAACTCCTGCACCTCTCAGGGCACCCTGCCCCGGAGGGCAGGACCAAGATAAGCCTCCCTAAGTCACTCCATCTGCGGAAGTGCCCAAGCACGGGTGCTGGATTGAATCCCAGATGCACTTATCAGCTTGGGCACTGCCTCATTATTCCCAAGAATTCATCATGATGCTGCTGAAACTTGTTGTTCTAATGACTTTTTAATTATCTTCCTCCTTTCCTCCTCCTTAGTTGCTAACTTGTCAATTTAAAGAATTTCTTGTTTAAAAAGGGTGCTACTTTTGATAATGACAACCACTCCTGTTAAAATGCCATTAAATACTTCACTAGGGAAGCTTATTTGAATGATCTGAGCAAGAAAGTACATAAAAGCTTCAAGCAGGTACAAAAGCAGGGGTCTCTGCTTTCATCTGAGTAATCCTTCTTTAGATCTGGGCACTTTGTCTGATTAATTTACCATTTTTGTTTTGTTTTGTTTGTGTTACCAGTAAGTAAATTAGTTGTTATGCAGCAAAAACTAAAGCTGTTTGCTAATTTGGCTGTGAAACCTGTCTTGTTCACAACACTGGATTATGAAAGCAACAAGGATAACTTCCACCCACCCCTACCTACATTGCACCAAGCTGAGGAAGGTAAGGTAATGTGCCATAGGACGCTCGATAAGTTCACTGAGAGTTTTGCTTGATTCATTCATTTAACAAAAATTTACTACATGCTAGGCACTCGCCAAGGCACTATCTTGTTCACCTCTGTATCACGTGTATACAGAGGTGAACAAGATAGAAAAGGTTGCTAATCTTATGGGGCTTATATGGGGAAAGACTGTCCAGGCAGAGGGAAGAATACATGCAAAGGCCCAGAAGCAGCAATGATTAAGATGTTCCCGAAACACAAGAAGGAAATCAGCCCTGGACATCATTCTGTGCACCAAAATGCTGTGGGTTCGATCCTCAGTTGGGGTATGGACGGGAGGCAACTGATTGATGTTTCTCTCTCACATCAATGTCTCTCTCTCTCTCTCTCTCTCGCTCTCTCTCTCCTTTCCTCTCTCTAAAATCAATAAATATGTACTCAGGTGAGGATTAAAAAATAATAATAAAAATAAAAAAATTTAAAATAAAAAGGAAATCAATATAACTAAGCCTAGGTGATGAGGGAGCATGGCAGGAGCAGGGGGTGACAAGGAGATAGCATCCAATTCTCATAGGGTCTGAAGGCCTTGGCAGGGAGAATGTACTCTAATCTAAGTATGATAGGAAGTCATTAGAGAACTTAATCAGGAAAACGAATCATCTAATCCACCTTCTAAAAACCCGTTTTGGTTGCCATGGACAATAAACACTGTCTCAGATTTGATTTTTTCCCCTTACATTTCCTTTATAATATGGAGTGTTGCCTTGGTAACTAAACTGAAGAAGCCATCTAAATTCTTCCAGGCTAGATCATCCGTCGCAGGGGAGGCTGGAGGCGCTTAAGGCAGACACTGCAGGAGGCGAAGGCTCTGAGGGCCAAGCTCAAGGATAAAGGTGCTCACAACCTACCTCTATGCAGAGTATCATGCTAGGTAGGCTCTTTACCCAAGCAGCCTTAACGATATTCCAGGAAGAAGCTTCCAGGATTATCATTCAGAAAATGCTATTTTTCCACAGACAACTAACTGCAAGTAGCCTTTTCTATAGGAGACATTAAGAAACATTAAGAGAGCGAACCTTTATCTCCTCTCCAAAAAAGCTAGAGGTAACTACCGGCATTTTTTTCTTCTAACTGCCCATTGTCTACATTCTGCTTTCTGTACAGAGGTCATAAAGAAGGGAACTAGGGGTCCAGAAGGAATGGTGCGGAAGCAGGTAGCCAGCAAACACGGGGTGCGGCAGCCGGATAATACCTCTTTGAATACTTCGTTTTAGCTTGTTACACAGATCCACGCGGGGGTTATCTACATGCTCTTCTACAGATCCTGGGCTTTGTTCTGGAGAAGAAAGGCTCCCGCTAAGATCCAACGGTACTTTACCAGTGTGCGGCGGTGGGGACGCAGCAGGGCTGTGGGTGGTGGTGGGACTGCCGGACGCTGAGGTGGTGGTCGGGTCCAATGCTCCTGCCCTTGAGTTCAAGGGAGAAGTCAGCGACAGCTTTCTGGCCCTCACCGGGGAGGACGTTCTGGACACAGCTAGGGGTGGTGGGGAAGAGAATTTGCGACACAGGCGTGGGGATTTGCCATCCACCAAATGTTCACCCCTGTTGTTCTGGCTGGTAGCGAAAAACAGTTCCAGTGACCTAAAAATATGAGCAAAAGCTATTGACAGATTGCAGCCAAGTGAAAACAATTCCTTTCATGCCATTCAAGAGCATGCTCCCTACATGAATAGGCCACAATATCATCACACTTCTGTTGCTGGATTTCCTGTTTTGATGGTACCTGTATTCCACACACTGGCCAAAGGTACACCGACACTTTTTAGGCCACATCTAATCCCTTGCTACTAAACTGTGGTCCAAGGACAAGTAGCATTGGTATCTCTGCGCAGCTTGTTAGAAATGCAGAACTTAGGCTCTACTCCAGACCTAGTAAATCAGAACCTGCACTTTCACAAGACAGCCAGGCGATTCTTATACATCGTAAAGTTTGAAATGCACAACTGTAAAAAATAAAATAGAAAAGCTTCGGATAATGGAGTTAGCTTCCAGAAAATCACAGAGCAAGCAGAGGCCACTTGGGGACTTCGGGGTTCTCAACTTCCTCCCTCAGGAGTTATCTGTGACCTCTACTCACCCTCTCCTACTGGTGAGGTAAGTTCACAGGTAAGACAATACCGTCAGAACAGCTCTGTAGAGGGGGCTGCTCACCTGCGGGAGGCCCAGGGACCAAGAGGGCTACACTTTCATGAGAGGCAAAGCCCGGGCCTACCTGACAGGGATGGAGGTAAAAGGCCTCTTGTATATGTCAGAAAGCTTCGCCAGTACCATATCTGCCGTCGTGAAAATACGATAGGTGTGCAGAAAGGTGTTGAGGAAATCGATACTAAGAAACCGCAAGTCTGTCAGCCGCTCCAAGAGGCGCTCCACACTGGCATAACGGATCTGGGGCACTTTGCAGGAGTTGAGTGTTTTACTGAAGCAAATGTCAATGTCATCTTTATGAAGACGGGCGTCAGACCTATGCACAGAGCAGGAACATGAGAACAAGGCCAAGACACGGCTTCCTCTGGGCCACTGAGTATTCATGTATTGGTAAATACACACTTGTATATAGACATTCCATTGCATTTGATAAAAGACATTGATATGACACATTGCATACAACAAGGCAGGGTTATGAAAATATCAAATGTGCTATTATAATTTAGGAAGCCCAGACTTGATTGTGGAGAAGGTAATAATAATTCATTTCATTTTGTAGATTCCTTCTGCAGGGGAGGAAAAATAATTTTCCCTCTGCCCTCCTGAGTTCTTGCCTGAGACCCCTGTAATAAAGGACAGATTAGCAAGAGAAAAATAAACCATTTTATTAACATGGATACATGGGAGATACCCAGGAAGAAGTGCTTAGATTCAGGATTAAACACCATCTTAATAGAGGAAGGGAAGGGAGAATGGCAGCCTCTTAAGGAAGAGTTAATGATTATTAGGAAAGATGAATGGGCCTTTAGAAGAATAGATGGGGGATAAAATAGTGTGTGACAGTTTGGGAGTGATGTCGGCTTCTAGTCTCCTCTCCTGTGACAAGCGTCAATCCTCCCTGGTTGACAAAACTCCCTGGGAAGGGATTTAAGACAATCAAGTTTCATTTAGAGGATCTGTCTTTAGTCAGATAAGGGGAGTTTAGAGAAATCCTCTCCTTGCATTTGCTGTTTTACAAGTTCCTAAGGCTCAACATAACCAATATAACAAAGTGGCATATTTTGGGGTAGCATTTATCTGCCACCCTTCCTTTCTCTCTCTACTTCAATCATGTTTTATTAGGAAAATGAGGCCAAAGACCTAATTAAGAGGGGCTTTGCTCAAGCTCCTAAATCAAAATGCCCCAGGATATCAAAAATGCCTTTAAAATGTAATGTCTGACATACTCCCCACAGAGGGGTTGAGGGAGCGGGAGACAGGTATGATTGATGTATCTGTGGTTATTTCTTTTTCTCACTTCTAATTTTATGCTTTTGTGCTTCCCTCTTTTTTCTTGACCAAACTAATAGATTATAAGGTATTTTTCCCCTCTAGAACTGGCTCTTTAACAATTCTGTTTTTATATATTTTAATTTACTAATGTCTGTTCTTATTGTAATTACTATATTAGGTATTATATAGATTATATAATTAGGTATTTATCTCTCTAGAACTGTTTCTTTATCAATTTTACTGTTTTTCTATATTTTAATTTATTAATGTCTGTTTTTAAGTATTTCCTTCCTACACTTTCTTTACAGTTTATATTGCCATTCTTTTTCTAACATCTTGAGTTGAATGCTTAATTTATTGCATTCTTTCTGGCTTATTGATGCATTTAAAGCTATCCATTTCATGAGTACAGTTTATTCTATAAAGTTGTGTAAAATGCTTTGTTTTCATTATGTTTTCAATATTCTGCAGTATTAAATATGTCTTCATTTTTTTAAAAAATAAAATGGACAAAGGGGGTCAATTGCATGGTGATGGGTAGTAGACTTAGGGTGGTGATCACTTTCAAATTATCAAATATCAAATTATAATGTACACCTGAAATTAATATAATGTTATATACCAATTTTACCTTAATTCAAAAGAAAGGGTGAAATACAGGCTGTGAACCTTTCTAGATATTGCTGCAGCGCTCTGCTTTTCCTCATTCTATAAAACCTTCCATCTGGCTGCTCCTCAACCCAACTGGACCCATAGACTGGGAGCCTGAGCAGCCTCCCCAGGTGGAAGAGCAAACTGGGGAGAGGATTCACACTGCTTCCCTCAAGATCCTTCCCCGCAGTGCTCAGAGCCTCCGCTCCGCTCCGGTGAGCGTTTGATAAAAGGGCAAAAGGGGACCGCGCGGGAGCAAAGTTTGCAAGAGGGAAAACTTAGTAGCAGAAGCTGAATTCAAGTGGGGCTCAGAGAAATGCCCACCTTCTTTAGGCCTGCCCTGAGTCCTCACATTCCTGTCTGAGGTCCTTTGTTACCCTTCATCGAGGCACCTCCCAACAGGAGATCAATGAAGCTCTGGATTTCGCCCCTTGATTAAAGGATATGCTTACAGGGCCGGGTGATGTTCAGTGAGGCAGTTGCTTGCTAAGTAAGAATCAGTTGGCTTGTTGAGAGTACCCTTCATTATCCCCTTCAGCTCTTCGAGGGGTTTCCAATTATATATTTATTTTCTTTTGGATAAAAAGGAATCAATAGCTTTCCTTAGCTTGCTCTTGGAAACTTCTCACTCCAAAATGTGCTCAGTGCAGGCAGAAGTATTTCATATGGGGGCATGAAAGGGCATTTTAAATGGGCTGCTAACCCCTGCCGAGGAATCAGGGGATCGACTAAGCGTGGGCTGCTAGTTTTAGACTCATTGCTGATCTCGAAAATGCACAAGCACATCTTTGGAGGTTCTTGAAAACTGTGTGGCTCTTTTTTCCATTTGTTATGTGGCCCTCAAATAACTGTACTTTTCTGGTTCTTAATTTTCTCATTTATAAAAAGACCTTAGAAACTTTTATGAATCAGTCTGTCTGAAAATGGCTGACTGAGGCAATCACCTTTTTTTCCTCTCACCATTTCCCACCAAAAACCTCTATTTTCTAGGAAAGTTGAGGTCAACTATTATTAAAAGAAAGCAAGCCTCAACCTAAGACACAAAATGTAAAACACCACTTAAAGGGATATTTTCACCTAATAAATGTTACAATTTTGCATTTTGATTGTAGTTTGAGATTTGCGTCTTTTGACTATAACTACTTCAATCAAAACACTAGGAGGAAAAAAAATATGCTGTAGCCAAAATGAAAGTAAAATAAAACTGACTAAAATGTAAATAATCTCAGTAATACTTCTTATGTTGGTAGATGTTGAAATGTCAACATTTTGGATATGTTATGTTAATTAAAATATATTATTAAAATAAAATAAAACTAGTTATACCACTGTCCTTCAAAACTGTGATTACATTTTAATTTAAAAAATTAAATATTATGAAATTACTTAATTTTCTTTTATTACACTGAACAAGGTCTTTATTTCCTAAGGGACTTTCAAGATATAATGTGTTACTTAAGCTTATTATGATAATAATAGTTCCCTTTTGGTAAACACTTAAAGAAATAATCTTAAAGCATCAAACCCATATCACTTATTATAATTAGTAAGATTTAAAAGGAAGTGAGTGCCTGCAAAGTGTTGTCATATCAGTAACAAGACATGGTTAAGAAAGATAACTTTTCTTTCAACTCTGCAAAATGTCTCCTTTTTTTTTTTTCATGGTAAAGAGCCAAGGAGATGAACAGAGAGGCAAGAATACCAAATTTAGGGTAGAAGAGGGCCATGGAAGAGACTATCATAAGGAACAGAAATTGCAAAGTCATCCTGTTTCCTCTGATTAAGGAGAATCAGGCTCAGCGAGGAAGGGAAAAATAGAAGAAAGAAATATATGAAACTCTGCCCTGGATGTACATCTAGCATAGTACAGATGGGCATCAAAATGTGTGACTCTAAGAACAATCAGAGAGGAGGGGGAGGGGGGTAACGGGGGAAGGAAGGGGAAGAGTCATCAAAGAACATGTATAAGGGACCCATGGACATAGCCAAAGCAGGGTGGGGTTGAAGGTGGGGGGTGGGGGTGGAAGGGGCAGGGGAGAGTGGCAGAGGGGAAAATGGAGACAACTGTATTTGAGCAACAATTTAAAACAATGGAAAAAAAAAAAGAAACTTCTTACAGCTCGAGATAGAGGTTTCTGCCCTTACAAACAGTTCCTACTCACTAGAGCATCACCTCTGTGTACCCAAAGGCAGGAAAGTCTCGATCTATTAGGGAGGTAATTACATAAATGGGATTAGACATGGACGCTGGTCAAACTGCCATCACAAGGGACAAAAGAGGCATTTGGGTGCCAGCCAAAACCGATCAGGCACAAAACTAAAGTTTTTATCAGTATTAACTTGTAAAGTCAACAAAATGTATGAATAGTGGGTATGCAACTGCTCTGGATTTAGGAGCTTATACCTTGGCTGCAATGTCTAACTTACATATCCTCACTCTAAAGGAATTTGGATTTTCACAGCTGTCTAACCTTCAAGAGAATACTTTTTAAACAAATAAAAATAATATATATTATGCTATGAACTATTAAAATAAGAATTTCATGGGTAGAAAGTTAATCAGAAAACTCTAGCCCAACAATGTGAATTTTAAAACTAAGTCACAATTTGGACCTTTTGATTTAATATTTTATACTTGATTTTCTCGGCTTTAATCTTAGCATCACACATCTTTAACCAATCTGGTTTTCTAAAAAAAACAAAACAAAAAAAAAACTACACTAAACTAAAAACCTAGAAAACTAAATACCAAAGAAATCTTTGCCCTAGAGGTTTTAAATAACCCTACCCCAAATATTTTAAAATTTGACTAGTAATTTAAAATACTATCATTCTTTTTTTAAAGTCAAGTCTCCCTATCTGCCTTTTACTCTCTTCTACGTCCCCCTACCCACTTTTGCCTCTGGTAATCACCATACTGTTGCCTGTTTCTATGAGTTTTGGGGTTTTTTTTTCTTAATCCCTTCACCTTTTTCACCCAGCCTAAAATACTATCATTCTTTTATAATTTCTTCTATAGTAATTATGGCACTAGTTTAATGTACTCTGCCTTTACCTAATACAATAATTAATGTTTTAAAAGCCTTACCATTGGAATGATACTAATTATAGTTAATACCTGTGAAGATGAAAGTTAATGTTATTTATTACCTTAGCATAAACAACTCAGAGCCACCAAAAACCCACATAAAAATGTATAGAAAACACACATTTTCTTAGTTTCATGTAACATTAAAAATATGTAACAGAACTTCTTTTTAAAATACATTTTATTCTTAGAATTTGGAATGCAAATAACCAAGAGAATGAGAGTAAGAAACAATCTAGTCAGCTTCCCAAAATACTCCCAAAACAATTTCTGAATTTGGAAAGAGAAAAGTACATATAGACAAAAGCATTAATATAGAGAGCTATGACACATAGCTTCTCATTTTAAACTATAGTTTCCCTATTGATCACTTTAAATTATAGGATTTGCTTTGTTAACAAAACAATACAGAAAGCAGGGTAGCATCCCTGGACAATAGGATCCAGGACAGATCCATATATGGGCAGCGGGTAGAATGATGGTACCATGGAAAAGCCAGATGACTCACGTAAGTGTCTTCAAAATCTAAGTGTATTTCTATAACCAAATCTGAGAAGTAAGATTTACACCTTGGGAGGAAGCCGAAAGCATCTGCTATACTTTGATCCATGCTCTGGTCTTGGACACATCGGGCTGTCCCAACTTTTTATACTGAACATGAAAATCTCGGTAATATTTTTCATCCTGAGTGAAGGCATATGGAACAGTATGAAAACAGTTTTTCTATGCTGTGAGTCAATAAACAATAAATCTGCAAAACCCTTTTGATCGTCTTGTTTATAATGGCATACCATGAATTATCATATTACTGTCGAGAAGCATTCACAACATGAAGCAGAATGATATTGAAGCAATATTTTATTCAGAGTTGTACATTCTCTACCAATTTGATCTTGATTAAAATACAAAGTAAAGTATTATAGCACTTACTTAATCATATGTGGCACAGTAACTTTGGAATTCTCTTCAAACACTATAGTCATTAAACCATTACACCGTATATTGTCCACGCACTGTGAAATTAAAAAATAGACAATTATAACCCACATGAAAACTAAGGCAGATCATACATTCTCAGAATTGCATATAGCCACAAAACAATTTAGTTTCTCATCTCTCTCTCTCTGTCTCTGTCTCTCTCTCTCTCTCTCTCTCTCACACACACACACACACACACACAATGGCAGGTAAATGTTATACATTGATGAACAGATTCAATGTCTAGACATCAAAATCATACACCTGGCAATACCTGAAGATGATATAAAGCCTGTTTTCCTGTAATGCTGTAATGTCTTCCCCAAATATTCTGACCACAACATCGCATTATCACAATTGTCTGGCAGGTGCAGCACCACTTCAGAGGTTTATTACCTTCTGGTGGTGACTGCCCTCTGCTATATTCATTCTCTGCCCTGCAGGGCAGGCAGAGGAGAAATGGTGGCTTCTTTAGAAGAAATTTGTCTTCTTTTTCACTAGTAAGGTCTGTGCCTGCTTCTCAGCTGCTTGTTTTGGTTGTGTTTGTTTTTGTTGGTTGGTTTTTGCCAACAAATTCCCTCCTTTTACTAGTTTCTCTAGCAGAGTTTCTATTGGCACCATGTTGGTTTGATGAGGATGCATTGTATCATTTCTCCTGTTTCTGGCAGATATGAAACTCTGTTCATCTTTTTCTCTTTTCTTTCTAAAAGGAACACTCAGGAACTTTTGCTGATTTTCTCTGCCTTCTTTACTTATATCTATGCTTTATCAATTTAAAATTTCTCTTTGCAATTACTTTGGGTTAGATAAGGATTTTATTTTGAATTATACATATTCCCAGTGAACAAAACAGAGAATAAAAAAAGTTTTAACAACTTTAAAATCAGAAATTACTTCTAGTAACTAGGACCCATGTGGTGCTTTATGACTGCAATTAAATGATGTGAAGAAGCTGATTGCCAGGTAACTTCACATAGATCCAGAGCTCCAGTTTATCCTAAACCCCCAACATCTAATGAAAGAGTAAATATGTAGCCCTGGCTGGGTTGCTCAGCTGGTTGGAGCGTCATCCCGTAAACCAAAAATTCGTGGGTTCTATCCCTGATCAAGACACATACGTAGGTTAAGGTTTTGATTCCTGGTTGGGGCACATATGGGATCTCTCTCTCTCTCTCTCTCATCAATAAACATATCAATCTCAGGTGAGGATTTTAAAATAATTAAAGAAGAGTAAATATGCATGTAAAAATCTTCAGATCACTGGCATCACTTGACTATTCAGTCCATTTAGTATATCAACCATTTTCAGATTTTTCTCTAAAAATTTGATTCCTCATGTCTTATGCCATTATTTCAATAACCAAGTATAGAGGATCCCAACTCTGGAAGTATAATGGGATATTTTAAAGTATACTTCAATTCACCTCCTTAAACTACAATATAAGGAAATAATATATATTTTTTTAAAAGTGAAGTGATATAATATGAACTTCAGAAAATCAGGGGACGGGAAGGGTCAAATCAAGGAACATGTATAAAGGAGCCATAGACAAAGCCAAAGTCGGGGAGGACTGAGGGTGGGATGTGGAGGTGGGTGAGGCAGGGGAAAGTGGTGGTGGGGAGAATGGAGACAAATGTATTTGAACAAGAAAAAAAAAGAAAGAGAAAATCAGGGGATACCTTTAAATGAATGTGTATACGAATAATTACATTGGAAGGCATGGTAAATATTCATTATCATATAAGCATGTGTCTTGGTAGTGTTACGGAGAAGAGTTTGAGCTCTTGGAAAATTAATTCAGGTCCCTTATTCAAGAAATATGTGATAATAAGCAAGGTGCCACCTATCTTAAAGGGCAACATTGAATTTATGTGAACTACAGTAAACCTTAAAATTACTAGGGTAACAAAAGCAGATTCCTGGGCCATGGCTATTCCAGTTCGGTATTGATGACTATGACTAGTGAGGGTCCTGGGAATATGTAAGTTTACAAAAGCCCCAGGCCGCTCCGACACAGCTGGTCCTCCTAAAGTGTTGAGAGTGACTCCTCCAGTAGGACTTTTGAGGGTTTTGCTTCAGGCAATAGCCATTCAAAAGGTCAGTGGTCTACTATGTCACCATGCTTTTTACCTTCTTAACATATCTAGGTAGTAGGAAGAAAGGGTAGATACAACTTTTTTTCTTTTAATTCACCTTTTTGTTACAATAGAAAATTCCCTATTGACTCCAGAAAAGCTATTCTAAGGAAAAGAGCATGTCAGCATGCTACACATTTGTCTATATGGGTCTATATTTTGACACTTCTGTCCAAACCAGGAAGCTCAGAGGTGAACTTCAATTCTGTATTTTAGTTAATACCCATAATTACAGAAAAATGTGTTTTATACACCATTATTGTATGACAGTAAGACAAGCACAAGTGAATGCACTACACTGAAATGAATGGTCAAATCTCCAGCTTCAGTTTTTTTCCTATAAATAGATGAAAAAAGGAAGAATTATTGCTCAGGACCATTAGCCACTTGCTCATTTTGTTGGAGGTGCCAACGGTTAATAATGGCCTTGCCGGTGTAACTAAAAGTGTAATTAATCATTCAAGCAATTGTAACTTCTAAAAATTACAGCTTCAGAGACAGAGGCCTGGCTTAACCAAAAGTTTTAATTTTTGCTCAGACTGCTTTATGTGAAACTGGGATTGTGTCAATACTCAAGAACCACTTTATTATCTTAAATAATAGCCATGTGTGATAAGTGTAACACAGTAGTTTAGCAAGGTGGCTTCAAATCAAGTCACAAAAAATTTCAGATTTAGCAAAATAAAGAATGACAAATAAAAGACAAAATAACAGCAATTACACTCATAATAGTTGAAAGAAAATTGAAAGAAAACGTTCATTTCCCTGGTCTGTGGATAGCTAAAATGAATAAATCTCCATCTGACATGAACTTACAAGAAACAGAAATAGTATAAAATGATAATCTCATTGATAATTACAGAAGTATAAACTGAAACCACTAGAAAACAATATCAGTTTTCTATTAAATAGAAAGTCTGATCAATGTGACAAAACTCAACTTTGACATGATTTTAAAGAGGGCTGCACAAGTGCCCTGCTGGTCATGTAGTCGAACGATGAGTTACAAGTTTCCTGAAGCATTTTGTCAGTCTGATGAGTCATGAATTATGAAATCATGAAAGTGATCAGGCCCTCTGTACCGGCCTTACCTGCTGTGGTGAAAATATACCAGCCAGGGACCTTGAAAGGAAAGAAACTCCCTGCACAAAGATGTTTAGCACCACAGCATATATTTGTGCTAAAACCAAGAAACTGCCTATATCATATGCCTAATATTTGGAAAAAGCTAGTAAAGTGGTACATTGATGTGGTAGAATATATACCTGTAAATATATAGTCTGATATATGAATATATATACTAATATATACTAGAAGACACCAATATGAAGAATTTACAGATATATAGAAAGATTCATATGAGGTAAAAAGCAAAAATGATACATATATATACACTGAGAGCCAAACTGTAAAATTATTTCTCTATGGCAGGACTGCGGTGGATTTAGAGACAGAAACAGCTGATTCACAGGATGGAGGTTGTCTAATATAATTGTACAAAAGTGATCTGTGGAACTTGTTAAAACTTGGAGGTATCTGAAATGCGGGTTCAGGAATCTGCACTTTTAAAAACCCTCGGGTAATTCTAATAAAGTTATCCATGGAAAATACTTTGATAAACACTTATTTAGTGTGCTGGGTGTTGGGAGTAATTTTTAGTTCCTTTTAGTGTCCATATTTTTACATATATATCATAAAATATTAAAGAGTACATTTTTAAGCATTCAGTAGGTTCAACTTATTAATAATGAATATATCCAGAGACATACTTGGGAGCCTGACAAATTCCATCTATGTATGAAGAGCACGTAATTTCCCCAATAAAATGAAAATACTTTAAGCAGAGAACAAAGCCAGTTGAGATGGAGGCTGCTGGGCAGCAGGCTAGGCTCAACTAATAGGGAGGGAGCTCCCTCCCTACCACTCATCATTCAAACTATGCATCAGGAAAATCAATACGTACCTCAGAACACTCACTGCCTTATCAGCTTTTAGGAGGAGCTGACACGTGACCATTCCCTCCTCCTTGATACATTTTCTCCTGTTGACTCCCAGGACACCATTGCCTCTTAGCTACCCTCCGACTGCACTGGTGGTTCCTTCTGAATCCTCTGCGCTGTCCTCCCCGACCCCTCTCTCAGGCCATGGCCCTCTTCTCACTTCTATCTACAGTTGCTCCCTGGGTGATCTCAACAGTTTCATATCCTGAAATATCACCTAAATGGCATAGAGTGTCCCACCTGGATCTAAACACTGGACTTTCATATGCCATTGCTTACTTAGCAGTTCCACTTAAATGACCTCCTCTTTCTTTTCCCTCTCACATTCTACTTCAGCCACACTGACCTTCATACTATTACTCAAAATATTCAGTGTCCTGCTGCTCTAGAGTTTTGAAATGGCTGTTCCCTCTGAGTGGAATGGCTTTCCCTTCCTGCATGTTATCTGCATGTTATCTCCATCACCTGCTACAGTTGTTTGGATGCTGTCTTCAGAATGAGATGACTACCTTTGAAGAACTGTAGTGATCTACACATACATACCCCCAGTAGCCCAATCACCTTCTTACTCTGCCCGGTCACCTTCTAACATAAAATAGTGTGTACTTATTTATGATGTTCATTTTGAGCTTTCCCTATACTAGAATGTAAGCTACACAAGGCAAGGGAACTTTTTGTTGTCATTGACTGGTATATAGCATCACTGCATAACACGATTTGTTGAATGAGTGAAATCCTAAGTGTCAAAGCCATACAATATCAAGGCTCTACTGAACATAGTAATTTCATTTAATGATATCATCATCCCTCAAAAAGATATAACTTCCTGTTAATGTCCTTCTCCAATTCAATTGTAGAAATATTCTAATGTAATTTAGCACACTGGCCATAGCAAATTGGAGAAACAGGAAGATGTTGTATGCTCCCGCCACAGGACACAGTCTAAGTAGACAGTCACATTTGAATGCTTGTGTCAGGCAAAGCACTGGGTACCTATCTTTAAAGGACCGGGCCTAGACTCATTCATGCACCCCAAGGGTCATGTCCCCCTCCTAACAATGCCTCACCAGACACCCTAAGAAAGGTCATTTAAAGCTTTTATCAACTATGTATCTTAGGATCCCCAGGTGAGTAAGGTAGAAGCTAGAAACAGCTAGAGAAACACCTTTTACTACTGCTATTCTCCCCATTCTTCCTACTTATCTTGGCTTCACAACACTTACAAAATTTTGTTGCATTATGTTGTCTACTTCCTTTTTTTTCCCTACTAGTATGCCTGATGCGATCAGAGACCATCGCCGCATCCCAGGTACCTAAGCGGTACCTGGCAGCACAAGGCGGTTGCTCAATCAGCGTTCATAGACCCGGCGAATGATTCGGAGTTTCATAGGTCAGAGATGCATTACAAACAAAAACTAAAGTATGAATTCATACAACATAGAGTTAATGAAAGCATTAATAAATCACCACAAAGATGTAATTATGCAAATACAGGAAATCCCACGTTTTCATTCCTTTGTTAGCCAAAAAGAAGTATCTTCACTCTTAGCTATTTATTCACCATCAAAGCAGTCGTGGGTGTATGTAAGTAAAAATCCTGTAAAGAATGTTTAGAGTGCTAATAAAAGACCTGGATTACATTTGAGTCCTGATTCAACACAGTTATGTAACTTTGGGCATTTAGCCTTCCAAACCTCAGGTTTCTCAGCTGTGAAATGGGACAAATATTTCTGTTTACCTTCAGAATACCGTGATAAAGGTCAAATGAGACTAAGTCTGAAAAATTTATTTGCCATATAAAAATAACTATATTTGACATTTATTCTCTTTCTATTTCCCTCAGTTTTCAGCCACTCAGAAAAAAAAATTAAGTATCTAAATAACTATGGCATAGTTCAGATTTTTACCTAAGTCTTTTGTATAAATTACTACGAGCTCTTCAAGATAAAAGAGACAAAAGAATCTATAGTATAGGCCTTTTCTATTTCCCTCATCTTTCTTGAGGTAACAACTTTGAAGATAATTATCAAGCTTTCTTTTAATATTTTCCTTACACAAACAGTTCCCTCCTATGTTGGTTAATGGAGCCAAAATTAATGTACAGCTTTGATTTTAAAATGCCCAAGTCCAATCATGACTAATTTTGACATATTTCCAAATCCTGAATAAATGCAATGATGCCCTAATTGGATATTGCTGATTAGGGAAAAATAAGCAATTTTTTTTCCTATTTTTTTCCATATGAAATACAGAAGCTCAATTTTGGATTTCATACTACAGACAGTATGTCTTCTTTGTGTGAGTCCTTCATTTGTGGCTTCTCACCATAGCCCTTGTTGGCTGTTTTTGTATCTCTCACCATTTTCCTACCTCAGGAACAAATAAGAAAAAAAAATCCGCTGGGGTCACTGGTGAATTTATTATCATCAGGAATATTTTAACACTGTTCAACACGAGTGATTACATTTTAAAATTGTACAAAATGCCCAGGAACTAAAATGCAATAACTACATTTCATGTAAACTTTAACCATAAAAAGAAAACAAAAAGCATATGATTCCAGCATATCAAAATATATAGTGGTAATATAGAGCAACGAGATGTAATTTTTTATAAAAATAAATCAACTCTAAAAACTCTCCCCAAAATTTAATGTCATGAAATTAAAAAAAAAAAAAAAAGCTTTTAGCAAAAGCCACTGGCTTACTTGACTTATGTCGCTTGTCCAAGCAGCTTTCTCCTGGCGTGAAGGTGCTAACAAGACTACAGTGAAAGGGGCAGCATCTGGAGGCTCCACCGCTATTTTAAAATCCAGGTGTCCAAACACTTGTCCAGAACCTTTGGCTTTAATACACATAAACCAAAAAATTAGATGTGAATACGAAACTATGAGTAATAGCTGCTTTCCTGTAGTTGTAGTAATGTGATCAGTGTTTGAGTCCAGAATCCCATTTCAGCAATATGGTACTTCTCCATCATAGGGGAGGCTTTACGAAGCTCAGAAGCAGATAAAAAAGCTCAGGTCTGCAGGTAACTCAGGACTATGATCCTGGTCTCCCTTTCATTTCAGGTTTTGTTTTGTTTTGTTTTTAATTTCCATTATCTACAGAGTTCTAATTTAATTATTTTCTTCTCTACCTGACACTGAAAATTCACTATCATGAGACAAATTCAGTAAATTGTGAATTCTCAACGATGGTTTAACAAGGTTTACAGGTTAGATGGCTCAACAGAATTTTTCATACACAAATGACTTCAGGGAGTGTATTCTCAGCATCTCTACTGTCTCCTTAAGCAGCTCTTTTTAGCTATAAACAAATGAAAACCATAGGACTTTTTAATTCTAACATAATTCTAAGTGATGGATTCTGACTTACAGTCATCATCGCTTGCATCGGGCTCCTCAATCAAGGTACATTCTATTAGAGACAGAACCCCACCTGTCTGGAAAGAAGCCATTTTTTCATTAGGAGGCCAAGAATCTTGCATACGTTGGGAAGCTCTGATTTGCAGACTTTATACTCAAGTTGCCATAGAAGAAAGCATAGCAATTCAACATCATAAATAACTTTTATAGATTCCAAAATTAAATTTACATGTGTAAAAGTAATTGAATTCATTTAACTTCATGATTCTTCTCCCCAACCCATTCTCACTCCCAATGTTTATTAAATTTAGCAAGTCAGTCTACAGGAGACAAGATGGCACCTTAGGGGCCTTTGGAGGGAATGCAGCTCAGCAAAGGCTGAACTCACCAACCAGGAAGCGGCTGAAGGAGTAGAAAGCCATTATCATGGTGTTAGACAATATTTTCAGGCACTAATAACAGAAAGCAGAGAGTGGCAAATCTTTTCTGTCAAGGGCCAGATACTAAATCTTGTAGGCTTTGCAAGCCATATGATTTCTATTGCAACTACTCAAATCTGCCATTTTTAAAAGCAGGAGAGCAACCACAGATAAAATGTAAACAAATGAGCCTGAGCCTGGCTGTGTTTCAGTAAAACTTTATTAATAAAAATAGGCACTGCAGTAATATGATAAGATTTTTGTAGCTCAGTAGTCATTAACTAGTAATAATTTTATTCAAGTTATGATTTTAATTGTACTTCTTAACTGTAATGCATACTTACTTTCTATTTCTTTAGAGCCACATGACAACAAAGTAAATGTCAAGATTGGTACCTGTACATTACCTCACTATGCAATTGTGACAATATTTTATGATACCAGTATTGGAAAGTCATAATTAAATCAACCTTAATGCTTCTTAAATGCACGAAACATAAATGGAATAGTCATGTAAAACCAGTACCTTGAGCAGATGCAGCTTTCCTCCTGAACTTCTTGTACAAATTAAGAAGTGTTTTGTAAATAAGAAGCATTGTCTCTCTCCTTCCTTTTTCAAAGACAATGAACCCAGGCGAACTTTACTAAGTTTCCCTTTCTCAACAGAAGGTACTTGAATAAGAGAACCTGGTGATCACAAAAATGAAGAATACACAGCAATTAAAACTCTGTGAAGGGAGAGCCCTTCCTGATGCAGTAAACACCGAAGATTCATTGGATGCACCATTGGAATGAGTAAATCCCCTACACTTTGAGCAGAAGAAACAATGCATTGTGTTTTAAGAGTCATGCCAGTTCCTACTATTTTTATAAAACACTTTAGAATTGATTATTGATCCCTAAGCTGGAAAATAAGTTGGGAAGAAAGCCATATTGGATTCAAAGAAGGAGGCACTTCTGCCATCTGTCCTTGGTGATTTGACCTCAATGAACTTATTAATCTAACAATAAAGTACATATTGCATAAGCACATATGGTAATAAAATAACATAATAAAAAGCAAATAGAATTTATTCTTCCTGAAGCACTGAAGGAGGATAAGTAACATATTAAAAGCATTTACTTTGTATTTTAAAATGGAATGTACAATATATGCATATTATAAAAATATACAAATTATATAATTCAACATAATTTAGTTAAGACTATTTTTAAAAGATAAGCTATTTCAGTTTACATTTAAATTATACATGATAAAAATTCTTGGTGGAATCTAAATGGAAAAGAAACCTCATAAAGTCTATACTCAGGGCATTCCTGTGATCAAAACTATCTTCCATTCCATGTGAGAAATTTTATATAGACTTTACATAATTTTACCCTAGTAAGGACCTTCCACCTCCAAAATAAAATTCCAATCTAAATTAAATATCAAACTCAAAAGTAGTAAGATTTGTGCAAATACCTTACTTCTGAAGTGGCCTGAGCCAATATTATTTACTATTTGTTAATCTCTACCATCTTCTTCAAATGCACCCTTAGAAAGGCTCAGATAAACTTCTTAAACACCATTCAGTATATATAAAACCCTTAAAAATTAACAGTGGCCATCTCTGAGAGGTAAGACTGCAGGCAACCTGTTTTCCTCTTCATATATTTTCTGGGTTTCCTGACTTTTTTTAATGAGCACAGATTAAAGTCAGGAAGTAAAAGCAATAAATTCTTCATAGACCCAAAATCGTAAAACTATGATTGTTGATCACAAAATGTTCACATTAACATGACTATTCCAAAAAGCACCTACTTTCTAATGAAGATCTAAAGGTGTACAGGGTGGTAAAGGGCTCAAAGCTTCCATGCCCACATTCCATCTACCTAGGCGTTGGGTGGGCTCCTTGACAGAGAGAGGCAGCTACTGGGGCCTCAGAATAGCATGGAAAGAGTCCTGGGCAGGGCATGGGACTGGCGAATGGAGGGCAGGAGAAGGCTTGATCCTGCTGAAGCAGCAGGCAGGCGGAGAGCGAATGGGGGAGATGAGGAAGGTGGGGGCAAACTGGCAGAGAACATAGACAGCAAGCAATTAAATTGGAAGAGTAAAGAAGGGATAGGAAAAGCTCAAGGCAGGACACCTAGAGAAGTAGAGGAACAAGTAACAGCAGCAAAAGGATTGTACTCAGGGGACTCACGGGCTGGAATCAAAGCCAGAGGAAATATTTCAGAGCTCCCGGGTCTTCCCCTCATTTTACACAAGGGGAAATTGAGGCCTGAGAGGCTAAACAGCTCTCCGTGTTTAGCATCTTAGAGTGGCATGGCCCAGAGATGGCAGTGGATTCAGCGTCATAAAAACTGAAACCTGAAAAGGGGATCGATGGCAAAAGGTGGTAAGTTCCAGCTTTGCCACTGGTGGTCGTGAGTCACCCAGGCAGATCGGTGGGGGCAGAGTGACAGACAGGGGCTTAGGCGGACACCTTGGTGGACAAGTGGGTTTGGGAGACATTTCCAGAAAGAATTTCACCAAGGCTATGAAAACTCAATAATAATACATTCATTGGTAAATGCTTCTAGCATTTAATTATTTCATAAATCAGAAATTATAGGATACACTGTTAACTCATGTATTAGCAATTACTGTAAATTTCAGCTTTGAGTTTAAAAAAATAAATGTTTCCTTGGCAACTACACTCAAATATGCTTGATCTATAACTGTTCACCTCATATCCAACTAGAAAGCTGCATGTTTAGGTATCTGTATAGAAATATATACAGCTCAATTAGAAGTGAGCAGTTTCAACACTTTGGTTTGGTTTATAAAATAATTATATTGAAAAAACATGTTAAGTGGATTTTTCACTTTAATCTTATACTTGACATGATGTTTCAACACAACCATGAGACTTCAAGATTCCTCTCTAGTTAATACAAATAGAGAAATAATTAGTATTAAATTAGTGATTCCTCAGTATCAGACCATTGCTAGGATATGGTCCTTTGCATCTCTACCATCTCTGCCTAATAATTGGGGTCAACGTGCAACACAACATTATTTTAATCACTAAAATCCCATAGAGCAGCATTCAAGACTGGCTAATGCTTGTTTTCTTTTTTTCTTTTCTCTTTTTGTTTTACCGTTTTTTAACCCTGGTTTTATTGAGAATTAATTAACATGCATCATTGTATAAGTTTAAGGCACACAGCACAATATATGTTTGATTTACTTATGTTATGAAATGATTACCACAACAAGGTTAGTTAGCATCCATCATATAGAAACAATAAAAAGAAAAAAAAATTCACCTTGTGGTGAGAACTCTTAGGATCTACTCTCTTAACAACTTCCCTATGTACCATACAGCAGTGTTCACCACGGCCGTCAGGCTCAACATCACGTCCCTAGCACTTATTTACCTTAGAACTGGAAGTTTCTACCTTTTGACCACCTTCCTCCAATGCCACCTCCCCCACCTCTGACCCCCCTCTAGTAACCACAAATCTGATCTTTTCTTCTATGCGTTTGTAGTTTTTTGTTTTGTTTTCTAGATTCCACACACAAGTGGACTCATACAGTATTTGTCCTTCTCTGTCTTGCTAATTTCACTTAGTATATGTCTTCAGTTTCCATCCACGTTGTCAAAAATGGTATTATTTCCTTCATACTTTTTATGGCTAAATAATACCCCATTGAGTGTGTGAGTGTGTGTACATATCACAACATCTTTATCCATTCATCATCGATGAGCACTTGGGTTGTTTCCCTAGCTTGGCTATTGTAAATAATGCTGCTGCTGTGAACGTGAGGGTGCAGATATTTTTTCAAGGTAGTGTTAGTATTTTTGTTTTCCTTAGATATATTCCCAGAAATGGAATTGCTGGATCATATGGTAGTTCTATTTTTAATTTTCTGAAGAATCTCCTTACTGTTTTCTATAGTGGCTGCACCAATTTACAATCCTACCAATAGTGCACAAGGGTTCCCTTTTCTCCACATCCACACTAGCATTTGTTACGTCTTGTCTCTTTAATGATATAATGCCATTAATCTTAATTCCACTAGTAGTGAAAAAGGATGAAGAGCAGTTTCCAGGTATTGGGTTAGGCATTTGAGAAGGTGTAAGTATTGCTAGACCCCATGCTACAATTTCAAAGGACACTGGTACACTGAAAGGACCTAATTTTGAGTGTGGGAATGATTAAGGTACCAAGAAGTCCATGTCTAACTCTCAATGCATTTCGCTCTGAATCCAGTCACCTTTATTGAATTTTCTTGATTCACATTTCCACAAGACAATATTGACTCTGTATAATGGGTTCCGTACAAAATGTCAATTTAGAGTACCTTGATCTTCTACTAAACTTCATGTATATTTTATGCTATTGAAAATAGAATCCCATTCCAAAATTTGGATCATGGTTTTTAAAGTTTATATAATAATCTCACAGGCACTAGTTTATGTGCTTCTGTGAGCATTAATTCCCTTAATCTTCACAAGAACCCTAAAATAGAGGTTCTACAACTTAAGGAGATATAACTGAGGCAAAGAAAGGTTAATTCAATTGCCCAATATCACAACAAAAAAGCAGGAAAGACAGCATTTGAATTTCCGTGACAAGGCTACACTGTCTTCCTGTTATTGCCTCAGACACTTATACATTTATTTGTTCAGCAAACTTTAAATAGATTTTGGAAGGTAAACGACAATATCAGTCCACTGCTACGATACAGTCCTTTGCATCCTACCCATCATCTCTCTAATAATCAGAATCAGTTTATAATAAAAGTCCTTTTATTTCAATTACTAAATTCCTACGGATTGACATTTAAGATCAGCTGAGGCTGCTCTTCTCAGGAGACCATTCAGAGAACATGGGTGACATATTTTTTTTCTTCCTCAGAATAAAAATTCATTTAAGGTTGAAACCACACACATATACATGCACACCACACACTGAACACACCTGATATCACCCCTAACAGTAAATAACACAGAAATGATTGTAGTCCATTTCATAGAAAATAGAATCCCTCAAAGTTTCAAAGAATTATTTTTTAAACCACCTCCAAGGGTTTTAAAGCCTGTGAAGGATATTTAGTAAGAGTGATAATAGATACAACGAAAGCAAAACAAGACAAACTTTAAAAACTGTCTGTAATTTGATTACTTTTTACTTTCATATTAAAGTCTGATTTTTTTAAGCCACCATTACTGAATAATTCCTAAACAGACTAACCAAACGAAACCATACAGAAAAATACTGCTGAAAGGCAAATCATTGCATTAACATCAATACAATAATAACATCAGATATATTAATAGCTCACAGGAGTGCCTTAAACATATGATACAGACCAAGCAATAAATAACATCCAGGCTTGAATTAAAGGGAGCAGTGGCTTGTGATGGATTTTTCCCCCAGGTGCAATGAAAAGAAATATGACTTATTCAATATATTCAAACTTCGGGCATTTTTCATTACAGATGTTTTCACAAACTTAGATCAAAACAGTCTAAGTTTGTAGAAATATAGTAAATGTTTATAATCACCACTTTCAATCAAAAGTTATTTCACAAATGAAATACTAGTAATAGAACATTTTGTTTCTATTCTCAAATATTATAAAGCTCAAAGTCAAGTAGTAAGTACTTTTCAGTAAACTCTAAACACAACAAAAATACAAAATAAGACACCTTACAACCAAAACTGCGATTCAACAAGCAATTCAACTTAATCCAATGACCGTCTTCTAAGGTATCTATCAGAGAAAACATTATACAAGGCAAGAGAGAAGGCACAAACATTGTCCTTCGGAGTCATAATTCCTGGGACAGACAGGCATGCCAACAGGTACCTATAACACACGAGGATAAAATACCTGCACCAGGAGCAAGGAGCCTTGGAAACGAGGAGGAGGGTTAATCCATTCTCACTGCAGGGGAGGGGTCGGGAAGGGGAAGGGGAAATTTTAAAAAGGCTTGTTAGAGGTGTGCAACCTGAGCCTGGTAGGACAAGCAGACCTTTAAGAGGCATGAGAGAGATGGGTAAGGGCATCCCGGCCTCCGGATCGGAGGGTGGCACAGGTAAGGTCACAGAGGCGGGCGAGCGCCTGGAAGGCAGGAGCCAGGGCAGGGACGTCGCGGGTGCAGAGGGGCAGAAGGGAAATTAAGAAGGCCTGGCGTTGTTAGCATTACACTCCACTATTATTTTTTTAATTAATAGTGAAATCCAAAAATGAAAAAAGGTATCATTTCCTAAAATATACTCCCAAACTTTAACATATGTGTGATTTCTCTTTGTAAATAAATAATAGTAGAATTGCATGTGTTAAATTTCTTAAGTATCCTATGCAAAAATTAACGTGCACAGCACAAATAATGTCTGGTGTGATGAGGTAAAAAAATATTTTAAGCAGCACATTTTGGTACGCAATGGAAACGCAAAGTATCTTTAAATAATATTGGCATATTACAAACTACATCAAGAGTTAGTCCCAAATTTATGTGCCACTCTTCACTAAACTCAAAATTATAAATGTGTGCAATATACTGTCTCAAATCAATTCCATGAGGCATGCCCTCTCCCCAAAAACGCCTAAGCATTTTAATAGAATTTGGGGTGTGGTTTACTTTCTGCACTTTTGAAAGCGAGACGCAGAGGAATATGCATCGTTAAGCTATTCTGTCTCCAAGGTTTCCAGCACAAATATCTTCAACTCTTCAAAAACTTAATTTACTGGGTGAGGCGACCAAAGCACATGCCACACACAAGATGCCTTCGCCATTACTGAAGTGTGGCAGGGCCCAAGCGTGACAGGTCATGGTAACTGGAGCTACCAGTTGAATCAAACCACATCATGTGGAGCCTCCAGCAGTGCTGATGAAAAATGGGAACAAGAGACAGCTGTTTCCACTTCGGACATTGTCCCCACTGCCATATGAAAGAGATTTAAGTAATTCAAGTTTCTCTTGGGCCTGTGCCCGGGTGTCGTCACCACCTGGCACTGACACTCCAATCGGCCAGACCGATCTGCCCTCATTGGAGCTGCCGAGAATGCAAGGCCCAATGAAGCGAGCGCAGTCACAATGTAACTCTCTGTGCCACTGGTGCTTTATTGTTACTGTGTTGTGGTGCGTCATGGCCCCTGAAAAGAAACAGCACAGAGGTGGGTCTCAACCACAGCCTCGGTCAGGACCGTGGGAATATCCTGCACAAACCACATTAATCAAACTGCTAAGTCAAGCCTGCCCCCAAATGCTTTCCTGGATCTGCCAGTGATAATGCGACAAAAGCAGAGATCACTTAGATGGTGGGTCCACCGAATAAGGACTTACCTTGGCGGATAAAAGTTTGGCTGGTGTCCAGCAAAATATCACAGCCCTCTACGATCATCCTTTCGATGGCAAGGTTTTTCCTTATGTTTTCAGTGTCACTCACTTCGTCATGCATTACCCTGTCAGACACAACACAGAGAGGACCACTGTCAGAGATGTTTTGTGTTGCCCTCGCAGGTAAACAAACGAGAGCTCCCCCTGGGAACTTGGATCAGTGGAACTGGGGCTGTCAGGCTTCCACTGGACGTCCCGGCTTCGACAAGCCATGACCCAAAGCAAGGTCAATGTGAGTCATGACTAAATGATGAGCGGGTCAGTGATCAATGAGTATCCTGGGACTCCTGCTGGTATATGCAACAGGAAAGCAACACATTTTATGAAAAGCTTTCAGTGAAGATTGCCATTAGGATACCATTTGTTAGAGGCTGAATAAATTAGAGACCTTTATACCATTTATCCAATATAAGCTAAAGGAACAGATATAAATAACTGTCTGAAACACTGAAAAGCTACTGATAAATCCAAGATATACCTTCTCCAGCTTCCTGACAAATAAGAATACAAAAGTGCGACCCAAAGTCATTTTTTTCCTATTACGCGCAAGAAATACGAACATTCTCAAGCTTAAACCAAAGTACATCCAGTCTCGAGAGCTATCATCAGATTTTCAGGTGGATCTGAGAAGCTGGATTGCGTCTTGCGTCTTGCTCCCTGGACATACAATTAGGTTTCCACAGAAGACTAACTTACTGCTTTCCCGTAACAGGCCATTACTGTAAGTTCTCTGCGTACCTGGACAGTTCCTCTAGTTTTGATTTGGCAAACTCCAGGCTTTTCCTCTCCACGTGTTCATGGGGTGTGTGAGCTAGGAGTTCGTGAAGTGTGATGATATACCTGGGGATCTAAACGCAAACAAAGACCAGTGTGAGCAAGTGGGCAGGGCGCGCAACACCAGACACGTTCTCCTCCTCCATCACCACTTCCAAGACGCTCATCTCTGCTCTGACCGTTTTAATTGTTTTACAACATATTTTTAAGAAATATATTTTAAAACATTTAAAATGAACTATTCTTCAAACTACACACACACACACACACACACACACACACGCCCCTTTCCCAAGAACACAGGAAAAGAGTAATAAATTACGATATTACAAAGACACAATTGATTCTTTAGATTTTTTAAATATAATTACACATTTCTTAATTGTAATTTTTGAAAATTCATTCATAGGGAAACATATAACTATCATCAAGTCACTTGAGGCTGTATTTTATATACGTGTGCCTGTTTAAAAATTTTTTTAAAAAACTGACAATCCTACTGCAATGTTTCTTTAAGAATTAAAACTTGGGATTGAGATATGTTCACCCTTGTGACACTCTGATCCTGCTTTACCTCAATTCATCCTTCTAGCAGTAGAAAGTATTGTTTAATTAGATTATTTATTTGTACTTTTGTTTATAAACAGACTAACTGCTTGTCAAAAGCAGAAATTCCACCAACCCTATGAAGTTTTTAATAGACTAGAGATTTAACTCAAGTTACAGTGATTCAACATATTTATTTTTTACTGGCTTAGAAATTACAATTTTTTAGAAAATTGTAATTTCTAAGCCATTAAAAATTGTAAAATTAAACCCAGGGGCAGTGGGTTTAATTTTAATAACATATATGAACAATAGCTACCATAACACTGCTCACTATGGGTCAATCAGGTGCTTGAGGTTTCGTGCATCCAATCTTCCAAACATAAGGATTCTTTCCCATTTTACAGATAAAGGAAACAAAGTGTGAAAGATTTGGTCATAGTAAATGGCAGAGCCGGCCATGAGCCCAGCCCCGACCAGTGCACTAGCCCAGTATAACAGCTTCCCGGGGCCTTTGGGGTAGCACCTTGCATTCTGACCTGAGGTGTTAGCAGCTCTGTCCCCAGGTCTGCTTTTGCTCTTCTGAAGGTGGTGGCTTTTATCGGGTATTTACTAATATTTATTAGATGCCCACATTTATGGGGGAAGCACGGAGGGCAGCGCCATCAGCACAGACATCGGTCTGCATTTCTACTCTGAGATCACATCCTGGGAATGTCTTCAAGCCGCGCTTTCAGCAGTGCGTAGAGACTCCCTAGTCATGGGACGGTGAGGAACAGGAGGCCCCTCCATCCAAAGGCGTTCTGCCTCCTCATCCCATACACTTCTCACCAAGACAGCCTGCAGGGCTCTCCGGCTAGGTGAAGGCTCCTGGAATAAGCGTGCTTTCAAGTACCGCTTTGCATAATCCCCTAACTGATAGCAGTCTGCCTCTAAATTAGTAGTTCTAGAAGAAAATCAAGGCAATTGCCAGCTAAGGTACCCAATTTTTCATAACAAAGAGGGTAGGGGTGAGAGAGCCCAGCTACTTATAACATACCGAAAACCCACAACACTAAGTGTAGTCAATAGCTCCGATCCTTCCCCCATTAATTCACTCTATTTTAGAGAGCTCCTTGGCTGAGAGGGAAGAGAATAGATTTGAAATTTAGTAACAATCCCTTTCCCCTTTCTAATGGAGGAACAAACAAGCCTGAAACAGCAAAAAAGTGAGCAAAGAACGTTCTGCAGAGAAGTGGATGACTCTGCCGAAGAGCTCACCTGTATGTTCAAGAGCTAATTATAAATCTGTTCCCCAAAAACCCAAGAGTCATAGAAAGTACTGTCTAGGCCAGAGATTTTCAACCTTTTTCATCTCATGGCACACATATACTAATTACTAAAATTCTGTGGCACATCAAAATAAAATTAATCTTTGCTGCTCTGCCAAAAAAAAAAGAAAAGATGTATAATTTTGATTCATTTACACCAGACAACTCTGATCATGTTGGCTGTTGTCATTTTTTTTTTAATTTGAAAATGTTAGGGAAAAGAGGTCAGTGCCCCTGACTAAAAAGTCATATATTGCATATTTTAAAAATTCTCAGGGCACATCAGTTGAAAATCACAGATCTAGATGAATCATAATTCTGCTTTCAATTATGGAACAATATTTTTCACTTTATAGACATTAATTAGCTTGCTCTCCAAGTATAGTAAACAAGCGGCTACTTTCTGGAGAACATCTCATCTTGCTGCTCTTGTCAGAAGCAGGTTCCACGACCAGCTTACCTACGGGTTTATGAGCAGCTGAGCCCAGTTTAAACAGTCCCAGGCAAACCACTGTCTTTGCTAAATTTTTTTTAAAAAGTGAAGCATCCCACCCTCACCCAAGGTGTCCAGCCTACCCCAGAGCGAGGCAGCAGCACCCCTGCTAAGCAGATGCAGAGGGACGTAGGTGTGCCTCCACCACCTGAGGGAGAAAATGCCTTCAATACTATTTTACCTCATTAGTGAAAGGACCAAAAGGGAACAAGAAGGGTAGAATGGGCATGGGCCTTGTAATAAAGAACTTTTAAACTTCTTTATGTTCCATATGTCACTCCAAAGGGACAGCAGGAAGGAGAGATACTGATGAGAATAAAGCCATTGGGGAGCAAACTGATGATTTCCCCGCTTGGTCCATTCAAAAAGTAGTTATAGGGAAGTAAAAGAGTTATGAGGAAGCAAATAAAGAACACAATTCAGTGCTCTTTCAATTTGCCCATTTCTTGCAGTTGGACCAATTCTGGCCAAATTCTTTAAGTTTGAGGCTTCTCCCAGAGCAATGGCTCTCATCAGCTGAGGTTTTGGTTACCCTGGCCCGGAAGAAGCCAGAGAATCTCAACATCTGACCCTTTAGTTAAATTTTAGGGTTTGGGGCCACCACAGTCTTGGCAGGGGTGGAGAAGGTTGGGGGGGTAGGCTAACACCAGGCTTCTTAAGCCACCACATAGTTACCCAACCAACCTTTCAGAGCAAGTCTAGTGAGAGCAGGATCACAGAGTCAGAGAGCTAGTGGTCGGGAGATAACTAGAACTCAGCTGCCTCAGTTTTGAGATCTAGAAATGGAGATTTAGATTGGTTCATTTATTTTCCCCATGGTATGACTAGGGTGAGCAAGACACCCTGATCTCCTAGAGATTTCCAATCCAATGGTCCTCATCCGATAGTTTAAGAAGCTTTGAGCGTCAATCAAAATGCCAAGTCATTGTTATTGGGCTTAAGCTCCATGAGGAGGGAGGGAAGAGAGGTGGAAGAGTATGGCAGCATTTTTAGGAAATCCACAGGCCTTCCCAAGGCCTTACATTCAGCTTTGGGACACGTCACCTAAAGTGCAAGTGCAGTCTGCCATCTTAAAACATTGAGAGAGTTACATTGACCAGCACCTGGAGAGACATGGATGGGCAGTGAGAAAGGGAGCTAAGCACCTCTCCGAACGTTCCAGGCGTGCTTCACAACTCTACCTTTGCAAGTTCGCCTGAGTTGGGGTTGCTGAACAGATACAATTTAAGGAATTTTAATCATAGCCTAGAAGTAACTGAAAAATAGTCAAATAGAATCTCAGAATAACATCGTACTGTACAAAATGTGTTTCACTGTAAATAAATCTTAAATTACAATTTGGATAAGGCTACCAAAAAAGAAAACTTTTTTTTTTTTTTTGGTTTGAATTTTTCCTTGTGAAATATTTCCTCAGAGAGGCAAAGGGTTCAAACAATTCAGTTCCATGAAAAAAAAAACACACACACAATTGCACTATAAAGTTTCACTATACTTAAGTTATTTCAAATGCATCCTTTTGGTTTTTAAAAAAACTTGCTAAATTTCTATGGTGACTTCCAGGATTTCGAGCAGAATTAACAAACTTTAAGACAAACAGTTACAAACCAGAGCAACATTTCTTTCTGAGGCTATAAAATGATCCCCCAGGGTCAGCAATGCCTGTCCACGGGGAACAAATCTCTCCACAGAAACCCAAACATGCCGGAATCAGAGGATCAGTTCACCATATGACAATTTGGAGGGCTGGCCAGAAGCCCCACAAATTCCACAAGAGGAACACTCAATGCCTTCTCAAAAGAACAGAATCAACACTTTTCAAGAGAACAGGCAATTCAGTTCATATTTTGGTCTCTGCAATTCTCACTCAAGAGCTCTTAATGGCAGAGCCTTAGGTATAGGAAAGAACACGTGGAGTTGATCCCATAGGTTGCTCTAACCCCATAAAATCAGCATCACGACAAGTCCCAGCTTCCCTGCAGCATCCTGAGAGGGGCCAAGAGCCCCGGTCCAGGCAGTGCCTCTGGCTCCTAAGTCTCCAACAGCCTCTGTGACCGCGGAGGTCCTCCTTTTGCTCTCCAGAGCTCCAGACAAGGGAGACTCAGTGTCACTCACCACGGGGTGGGAAGGATGGACAGGAAAACAAAGACTTCCCCGGTAGTTCACTCTGCTTCTCAGGAATGTTTTGTGCAACCAGCCTACACTGGAACATTTGCACAACATCCTATTCTGTAACCCTAATAATATTTTTAAACATGCTGAAGGAGGAGACCTCGTGAAGGAGGTCTGTGAGGCATCTTTCTGTAAAGAGAAAATTATGCTGCTTTTCAAAAAAAAAATCATTTTTTTATCTAATTGTCTGAAAAATGCCTGGTTTTCTTACATACACCAGATGGAGAGAGAATGTGGGCCATGAATTTGTTTATTTTGGGGTCAAGCTCAAGAGGACAGGTAATGCATATGTGCTATAATTCTTCACCGGGGCATCCTCGCACCTCTCTCTCTGGTCACATGAGGCAACAGGAACAATGAGCTGGAACCAATGGCTTATTGAATCCACCCTGGAGGACTTACCTGAAACATTGGATAGGTCAAGAACGTTTCTAGCATTCTCCCTTCACAGGCAGGGTTGGCTTCATACTGTTTTAAGAGTTTGTCAAAATCTCTGTTTTGCTTGCAATTGGCAAGCACTTGGAGGCTGTATTGGTGATTACGTACAAATTCTTGATAAATGTTCAGCATGGGGAGCAAAATATCAAACAGATCAGCTGAAAGAAGAAATGAAATGGCAGTTACTTTTGGTGCTTGATAAAGTATCTAAGGTACAAGGGAGAGACCGGGAGTGGCAGAGTGGCTCTGAATACCAGGTATCACGCATGCATGGGGACCCAGATCAGATGCCTGAATTACTGATCTGACAGAATGTCACCCAGGGAAGAATCTGACCCCAGTCCCAAATGACCATGACAAGCCAGCGGAAGGTAACTTGTAGGGAAGGGCCCAAAGACCAATGAGATAGATTCCCAATGGCTAAAGCTGCTCACAGGACAATGGGAAAATTTAACAGCTTCAGCTGAATAATGTTGAAATCATCTTACTGTAATTTTAGCCATATTAAGAGACACTAAAGCACGCACTTACCTAAAATTAAGGTAGGCCAGTTTGCTATCCTAGCCTTCAGTCCTTGATGAAATATTTCATGAAGAAACATGATTGTTTCACTATAACAATACAAAAACAATATAATTTAGTCCTGAGTGGAGCCATGGCGATCCAGTGTAGAGAAGTCCCCCTCCTTCCTCACAACAGCAGAGCCTAGCTTTTACCCGGATGCGACCAGACTCCGTCTCATTGCTCTCCTTCCTGCCATCATCCACAGACCCCAGCCACTCTTCCAACGCCTGGCCTGCTAGCTCCCAGCTCACTGCCGGTCTTTTCTCCAACACTTCTGCCCTAGCTCTGGTCATGACTTCAATACGCACGCAAATAACATTCTAATATCCTGGCATTTTGGGCCTTTGAACTCCTCCCCTCCACAGATTTGATCTCATCTTAAAACACACATGCACACTTTTCTATACTTTTTTATTTATCTCCAGGTACCACTTGTTTCTCTGCTCCTTTTTGTAGCGACCCTCCTTTGCAAGTTTTCTATACCCATTCTTTCCAATTCTAATTTCTTCATCCTCTCCATTCTGGCTTTGATCTCCCATCAAAGTTACCAAAAAGCTCCAAGTTATTAAGCCCACAGTCAGTTCTCAGTTATAATTTTATTTGACCTTGTTGACATAGTTGTTCATTCCCTCTTGCTCTGGTGTTCAGGACAACCCAGCCTTCTGTTTTTCACCCTACAACTCTAACTGACCCTCTTTACTACCACATTATAGCTCCTCTTCATCTTCCTAACCTCTAAATGTTGGAATAACCCAGGGCTCAGTCCTTGTTCCTCTTTTCTCATTCATCAGTGCCTACTCCCTCGGTAATCTCGTTCAGACTAACATCTTACTAACCATATGCTATTGCACTTCCAAGTTTATATTCCCATTCCAGACCTTTACCTTGAACTCTAGTCTAATATCCAATCGCTGCTCACTTGATTTCTCCATTTGGATGGAAAATAGCATCTCATACTCGATAGTTCCAAAATAAAAACTCTTCATCTTTCCACTATGTCTGTTCATGCCTCCATCTTCCCCCATTTAGTAAACAGCAGCTCCATACTTCTAGTTGTTCAGGTCAAAAACTTTGGAATCTTACCTGCTTTTTGCTTTCTCTCAAAATCCACATCAAATTCATCGACAAATTTTACTGGCTCTATGTTAAAAATAAACCCAGAATCCAATCACTGATTACCTTCTCCACTTCAGTCATCTCTTGATTGGATTATCCAAATACCCACCTGCCAGGCCTCCCAGCTGTAATCATCTCTCACCTGGCTTGTTGATCTCCCTACAGTCTATTCTCGAGAGAGGCCAGAGTGAGCCTTTCAAAACGTGTCATGTCATGCCACTTCTCTGCTCAAAACCCTGCCAATGTCTCCCCATCTCATTTAGAGTAAAATCAAAGGATCTTACAATGCCTTGCTGTTAATGCTCTAACATCTCCCTTCATCCACACACACCTTGGCAGCTTCTCAAACAAGCAAGCCAGGCCTGCTCCAGCCTCAGGCCCTTTGCACGGGCAGTACCCCCTGCTTGCATCACTTTTCCCTCAGAGAGCCATGTGGCTGACTTCCTCACCCACTCAAGCTTTTTTCCAAATGTTAACTTACTTTCGAGGCCTTTCTGAAGACTAGCTATTTAAAAAAAAACCAAAAATAACCTATGGCACATTCACATAAAATAATACAATGTAGCAATTTTTTAAAAAATAGAATGTTCTTTAGATATCAACATGGGAAGATGTCCAGGATACATTGATAAGTGAAAAAGGCAAATATACATTAAAGTACATTGCCTTCTGTGTAAAAAGCAAAATAAGACTCAAAATACATATTTGATTTCATCTACCTCAATTAACACTGGAAGGATATATTAGAGACTAATGAAAATGGTTACATACAGAAAGCGGGGAAAATGGAATAAGCAGAGGCAGAGGTAAGAGTGAGACTTCTAACTGCTGTTTGATATTTTCATGTTGTTTTGACTTTTGAACTTGTACTATCCACTCAAAAACAAATAACTAAAATTTCAAGTCAAACGTCCAAGGACTCTCCTTCCTTCTTATCTCCTCAGCTTCTTTATTTTTTCCTACAGAACTCATCGCCACATAATATATTATGTATTTCACTTATTCATTATTCATTGTCTGTCTTCCTACATCAAAATTTAAGTTCCGTGAAGGCGGGGATTTCTTTCCTTTGCTCACTGATGAATCCTCAGCAGTAAAGAGGCTATAAATATTTACTGAGTGAATAAATTTACTAGAGAGTCTCAGGCCCTCTGTTAGTTGTTGTTCTTCCTAAAGTACTTTCATATAAATTATATGTAAAGACCCACCAAGCACTCCATTTCCCTCAGTGAGAGAGGGAAATGATCTTCCCCAATATACACATACCCCACCCAATGACAAGAAAACATATGTCAAATAGAGAAGAAGAACAAAACTCTATGTCAAGATTCAAGATCAAGATAGGCAAGTTTGGACTAATAATGAAATTCAAATAATAGCTTTCATATTTTCAATATCACAAACTCATAAAAGTGAATTTATGAAACCTATTCTTTTAAGAGTAGAGTAAAAATTCTTTTAAGAAGTACAAATGGGTTTTTCACATGACTCTTTGATTTATGCCAAGACAAACCTGTTGAGAAAAATACTGCTGACGTCGTCATGGCTGATGGGGGGCTTCTTGGAGCTGGCGGCCATTCGCAGGGGCCGGAGGAAGCCATTAACCAGGATGTAGAGCTGGTGCACATACTCCGACTCAGCCTCAACCATAGTGAACACAATCTGGTTTCTCTTCCTCATACTTTCAGCATGAGGAGAACAAATGTAATCCTGCACGATGGTCTTCCATTTCCTTCTACACAACCATCCTCTCATGAAGCTCTGAACCTACAGAAAAGAGAGAGAGAAGGAAAGAAAAAGGAAAGAAGGGAGGGAGGGAGGGAGGGAGGGAGGGAGGGAGGAAAAAAGAAAAGGAAATCTCAGGGAGCTGAGACAGGCTTTCTTAAGTCTGTCAGTAAAGATGTCCATCCTGTGCTGTATAAAACACTGCTCTTCCATTGGTGCACGCTTTTTTCAGATAGCAGGAAAAAATGATATAAAAATAATTTATCAGGTTTACAAGTTTCTTCCATAAGCTTAAGATGTTTAGGCCTGTCTATATGGGCACCAGAATATAATAATATTACATAGTTATTAACATTCAGGAAAGGAATAAACTAAAGATTTACTTTTAATGATAAAAAATCAGATATTTTTAAAAATATTTTATTAAATTGTGGTAAAAAAAGTAACATAAAATTTACCATCTTAATCATTTTAAGTGTGCAGTTCAGTAGTGTCAAGTATACAAGGGTAGGCAAAAGTAGGTTTACAGCTGTTTGTGTGGAAAACAATACAATAATTAATAAACAATAATACAAGACTAAACTGTTATGTGCACTCACAAGCATAAACCTATTTTTGCCCCACCCTGTATTCAAATTACTGTGCAACAGATATCTAGAAATTTTTCATCTTGCGAAACTGAAACTCTATACTCATTAATCAAAAAAGCCTGCTTTCCCCCTTCCCTCAGCTCCTAATGGCCACCATTCTTTCTGTTTCTGTGAATTTGACTGCTTTAAACACCTCATATAAATAGAATCATATAGTATCTGTCTTTCTGTGTCTGGTTTATTTCATTTAGTATACTGTCCTCAAGGTTCATCCAATATTGTAACATGTGCCAAGATTCCCTACTTTTTAAGGCTGAATGATAATCCACTGTTTATGTTTACCACATTTTTTTATCCATTCATCTTTCAGTGGACACTTGGGTTGCTTCCACCTCTTGGCTATTGTGAATAATGCTGTAATAAATGTGGGAGTGCAGATATCACTTCAAGAGCCCGCTTTTGATTTTTTTGCATATGTACCCAGAAGTGGGATTGCTGGATCAGATGGTAGTTCTATTTTTAATTTTTTTGAGGAACACTGTATTGTTTTTTCATAGCAGTTTAATCATTTTACAATCTCACCAACAGTGCACAAGAATTTCGATTTCTCCGCATCTTTATTAATACTTATTATTTTGTTTTTTTGAGAGTAGCCATCCTAACAGGTATGAGGTGATATCAAATTGTGGTTTTAATTTGTATTTCTCTGATGCCTAGCAATGTTGAGTACCCTTTCATGTGTATATGAGGTCTCCAGAGATTATATACAAATGGCCAATTGCATATCATCTTTGGAGATATGTCTATTCAAGTCTTTCGTCTGTTTTAAAATTGTATTATTTGATTCTGTGTTGTGAGATGCCATTTTTTTTAAGTTTAAAAATAAGTGTTAGAGGTGAGCTCATCCAACTGCTTCCTTTTATAGACGAGTAAACTAAATTTCATGGTCAATCACACAGGTAGGAAGGTTGCAAGCAGTCTTGGTGTCCTTCTACCTGCCCTCTGTTAATTGTAAGGACTCTCTCCTTCAGCACATGGGCAAAATATATGTTAACAATTTGCAATGGCTATTATTTTGTGATAAGAAACATAAAATAGGCTTGCTAGTGGGCCATGAGAAGGTGCCACATGGTTATGGATTAAGAGCTGGAGATCGCAGCGATGCAGCAGGTGGTGCTGAGAACTGCGAGAGGCCTGCCTCGCCCAGCCCCGGACTTCTGTTCTTTTTCTTCTGAAGGACGGTACCCCTGACCGGCCTCACTGGCCTAACTTGGGCAAAAAGGGGGAAGGCAGGACGGTGTGTGTGCTGGTGGTCGTTTTGAAGGGATTTTGAGGTTTAAGGGTGACATTTAGCCATTAATCAAACCTGTATAACTTTTGAATAAATAGTTCCTTTCCTTTTCACACACACCAAAAAGAAACATAAAATATAGTTAAAATCAATTTTGTAGAAAATATGATAGCCTCTAAAATTGACCTGAATTCCCTAGGGATGGTTTGCAAAATAACAGGCAAACCTCACAAAGTGCAGTGGCCTTTGTGTATTAGCCAAAAAAATATTTACTGATCATTGTTTAAAAACCCTGGTAAATGCTGGGTGCTAAGCAAATAGAGATATGTCATAATCCTTAACCCAAAAGCTCTGCAACTAACGTTGGGGGTGACCTTAAACACTGGTCTTCCATCTCCTCATCTATAAAATAACTGACCAATTATATCTGTGGTCCTTTCTAAATATAAAAAGGCTATATGATAATTTATTAGCATTTGTCCTATTTAGGTGGCAGATTCAGCAACAAAACAAGCTGCAAATTCACATATCATTGAAAGCATTACTTCACTACCAAATCTTTTTTTAGTATCATCGTTATCTGTTCAGCACATAGTTACACTTTTTATTTTTTCCATACTATTTGATCCATGGGGTCTAAATTATCATGTGTCATGTAAATTATCATTTAAACAGCTACTCTTCTTTTGCAATGTTTAAAATTCTCTCATTTACCTACCGATGTTGTTAGCATGCTTTCAATTTTCTACAGGCATTCATAGAGTTGATTTAACCCAAACAATAAAAATTAATAAAATTATGTGGGGAGAATTATATGCATATTATTTGGAGAAATTTAATGTTAAATTTCTGTGAATTATAATCAATTTTAATTTTTGGTTCTTGAAGCTAAAAAATTATGTTGATATTTGTCAAAATGAGACTACAGAAACTAATTCACTTGCAAACACCCTCTTTTCCACCCAGACATTAGTTTGATTTGAGACAGAAAAACAATAAAGTTCATTTCAAAATCTATTTAACAAGTTTAGAAATAGGTTTTTAAAAAAATTATTTCTTCTAAGAAATAGAAAGTTATTACATATAAAAAGTATTTATTTTATTATTATTTTTCCATTTAACAGAGTACTTTAAAAAATCAACTAAATTGAATTTTGCATTACATAAAATTTTTCTTGAACTGCTACTTCCTGCAAGCAAACACGGGTCACTTCCATCCTAATAGACAGGTTTTCATCACTGGACTAGAAGTTTTATTTTACTGATTTCTTTGCTTACATGCAACCCCATACTATTAAAAGAAAGGCAACCACATTAATCTTGTAACACAACAGCATAAACCAAATTCCATTTATAAAGTTATAAATTCTTTTTTAAAAATGATGTTATCATTTTATTTCTTAAAAACTAAAACATTGTAATTTAGTCCTAAGAAACATTTCTATTTCAAATTCTTAAAGTTTTGTCACAGCTGAAAAGAAACAATTATTTAGCATAGAAAAACAGGATGAAGAAAAAATTAAGAACTAAAGATTTTAATGGTGAGGCTTTTCACATAATGTTAACAAAGCTGATAAGTGCTTTACACAGGACACTGTGTAGGATTACTACACCGTTAGGGTTACAGAACTCAAAACCTAGATGGCATAAAGCAAACACAGGAGACTAGACTGAATGCCAGTGATTGGTTAATTATAAAAGTCATATAGTTATAAATAACAGTACAATGGAAAAGATCTGCTGATTTTGTGAATGTTAAAGAAGAAAGAAACAATAACAACCTAGAAATCTGAGCAGATGTAATGATTTACTCCATCTTCTCACATGTTCAAAAAAATAAGCACTGAAAACTATGGCTAAAAGAAATATTTTTGAAATGTAATTTAAAAAACACTCCCCCAAAATATGAAAGAAGCGCAAAATCAAGAGGTTAAATAGCACTTAATTAACCCAACTGGAGAACACTGTTATCTTAACATCTGGTTGGCATCCTTCCCACAGAATCCAAAAGAGTATTCTCAAGACTAGAAAAAAATCTTAAGTTGACACTTTTCTAGAAAAGTAGTGATGTCTGGATCACTCAGAAGTACAAGTCTGGGAGCCGTTAGAACAGAAACACCAAGGTTCTCAGCTCAGGACAGGGTGGCAAAGACAGTATTACAGAACAGAGAAGTGGCCACTTTGCATCCACGGCCAGAAACCCCCAGCATCTTACCTTTTTGATCTTCTTGATGTCCGGATCCTCGTCTTCTGGATTGCTTTGGTAGGGCCGCATCCGTTCCTTGGTTTTATTAAGAGCAATAATCTAGAACACAGAACAAGTCCACTTCATGATTTGAAAAATACTGGATTATAGCTATAACCCATAGTTACACCTTCAAGGTAGCTCATGAGATCTGCAGGAAGCATTCACTTCTTAGTCACTCTCTGCCTTTGGTGCCATGGCAGGGGAAGCATGAACTTCACCCCAAGCCTGTTTTGTTTTGTTACTAACAGAAGTGCTTATAAGAAGTTAACCATGGAAGTGTGAACTGGGACCTGGGTTAGGTGAAATGTTGGCCCAAAACTCAGCCCTGACTGCCAGCGATGACCAGGCCAAGGCCTTCTCAGGAGCTGAGGGACATGTCAACCACCTTGCCTGAAGGCAGCTGCCTACAAGGCCCTGTGGTCTCCAAATGCAGTGACACTCAGCTCACAGCTCCTGCTTTCCCTGCGGGAATAATCAGCCCGCGGCCTTTCAAGTACACTCAGGTCAGCAGACTCCCAGGTCTCCTTGGGGAAATGGTAACTGCAAAGGGAGCTGTACAGCCCTAGGGCTGGTCCCAGCCTGCCAAGGAAAAAAGGTGAAAAAGGATTGAAACAACCTGGGGTCTCTTTGTATCTCCAGCTCAGTACTATGACCACTGGGGGCAATTCAAGACCAGATGGCCTCTCAATTGCACTGAGTGATATAATTCACTGGACTACCATTCAATTACAGGCACTTACAAACTTAAGAACCTATACAGATTTACTAACAAGCAAACACAAAATTAAAGGATGGTAATTGCTCTCTCTGACCTGTCTTTACATTTTATCTCTAATACCAAGTACACATCTCTGCCATATTCTGGCAGGGAAGCGTGAAAATAAAAGGAATAAGAAATAAATTATGGCTCCTGTCAAGCGTCCACACAAGACATACCTGCTATTGACAGTTTTTAACTGCAGTCTAAATTCAGACTAAAATAGAACATAGTGGAGACAGATAAGAACACACACATAAATATCAGGAGCATCGCTTGGTGCTGAGTTTCTCTTATGGAGAAAATACCAACCTCTTTCACTTAGTAGACAAGCATCTGCTCTAGCTTATTGTACTATGGCAAAGAGAGAACACAATAATTTTCTTTTAAATTACAGTGCCTGATATAGTCTTTTAAAATGCAGGTTTGTTAGGTTTTCTGTTGTTGTTTTCACTGTATCAGGTTTCAGGGCGAATCGGGAAGATAACAACACTAATGATATGGTGAACACAGTCTGCAACTAATCATCATCCCAGATGGAACTAGCTTATGCCCATGCTCTGTGCCCCAGAGGCAATGTGCACAGAAAGCAGGTGAAACCCCTCACAGGATTCCCAGAGCACGGCTTAGAGGAAGGTGTGAGGAAATGAAGAAGAAAATGTTGTCAAATGACAGAAAAGTGGTAAGAAAGTTACCAAGGCTGAGGGGCCTGAACTGTTTCTGTCAACAGGAATATAATTAACAGTAGATTTAATTCTGTCCAATTTTCTTTGAAGCTAAGAAGATACTAATGTACTGCTGGTGAGGAAAAGGGAGGAAACTCACTTTCTACATCCTCTTCAAATCTTTAACCATTTTCACTTCCCACGAGGAATGACAGGATAGCAAGACAAGGCATATAGTCAGAGGCCCCGTGCAGAGAGGGAGGGCCCAGGCACACGCCATGGCTGCACACTCTATGACCACCTTCTGCTCTAACCTGGCTCAGTCTCACTACCTGGGAGTATACGGTCTGAGAAGTTCATTCTAAGGGGATGGGGGAAGAAGAAGAGGGAAGCAGGAATTCCAGCTTCAGGGTAAAAAATTCATCCTAACAAATGTCTTACAATTTAATTCAAACTTGTTTTTCGAAATTCTAGAGGGAAGAAGGTTAGACTCCTTAGATCTAGAAAAAGTAAAGTCGTTCTGAATTCATCTTTGGTCCTTCCTTAGTTGTCATTTGGATTTTAATTGAGTCTATGACAGCCTCACAATTACCATCACCATAAGAGTCAATCTGAAAACAGTTAAATATTATAGTCAATTAAGAATATCTGATCAAATGAAGGACATTGGGAGGACAAATAATTTAAAAATAGCCTATAATCCTGATATTTTATCAAAGTATATTTGCATCATTTTAACATTGACATTAGATTCATTTCTAATGTAGATCAGTAGCCTGGCCACATACATGTTGATAACAGAATAACTAAGTTTGGGATTAAAAATTTGCCCTGATAGGCCTTAAGTAATCATGAGGAGATGACCATAAGCAAGGAACAATGAAAAGGAATCATGAGCTGGGAAATACCTCTGATTTAAGCCTTTCAATTTCTGTATCTTGATCTTCAAGTTGATGCCGCAGTTGGTTAGCTGCAATTTTTTCTGTCTCTACGATCTGAACGAGATGAATGTACTTCTGCATCAATACTTCCCTCTCAATCAAAATGTCTGCATAACTTGAGAAAAAAATTACAGTTTAGTCATTGAGATGTTGTTCTACTACAGTTCCATATAGAAAAGCATGCACTACATTTTTAAAAGAAACCAGAAATATAACTTGTTTGGCTAACTCTACTTTATGTAAACATTAACTTTTGGATTATCTATAAAGAATTTGAGTCATTATAATTTTACATGTTGTTTTTACTAAAACTTCATTTAACTTTTGGCTTACTTTTGGCATCCTTTAACTATATAGAATTTGAATCATTATCATTTTACTTTTTTTTTTACTTAGAGTTCATTTAATGATGGCTGCTACCCACAATTTTATCTTATCAATGAGAAAAGTGCAAAGGAAATCCATTGTTCTATGAAGAAAATAGCACAACTTTTTTTAAACAAAGAAACTGAAGTGTTTGATTTGATGGCACATACTTGGTTTCCAGGGATGATATTTAAAATATTTCACCAAGTAAGGCAGTAGTCAATTAGAATAGACTTGCCAGAAAGTAGAATGAATGAAACAACCATCAGAACAGGCACTGGTAGAAAAGAACTATGATCACTCTACCAGCAACCACCAGATTTCCTTGCTCTCTTTAGGATTTTAAAAACACTGACTATCTTTGCACATTCTTTCCAAAAGCAACAGATGCAAAAATTTCATTCTGGAAATGAGTATAGATTCTTTGGGCCCTAACTCTTATATTCTAGCCTGCATCCATGCCTTTGACCGACTGTAATAAAGACAAACTCTCTTTAGATTTTTATTGTTTATGCCATTCTGTGGCATCTAAAATTCTGATTCCAGATCTTCTTGCACTATACAAGTTGATAAAAATTTATTTTCCTCCACTCACATAATCTTTCCCAAATAGTATGATAATAGCAATAATTGATAATCATTTTTATTAATTGACTGTACAGGGGGTATCATACATATTGTCACCTCATTCTCCCAATTTTATTAGAATGATAGTTTTATCATCCCAGTTGTACAGAGAAAAGGATTTGATCTTCACAGATGTCATACAGCTAGTAAGTGGCAGGGCTGGGTGGCATTCAAATTGAGGTCTGTCTGACCCTAAGCCCATGTTTTTAATCACAAGCTAAACTTTCTCTAATGAGAAACAGCACATTGGATATAAACAAGACTATTGCAGCAGACATGTTCTGAGATATTAGCCCAACCTTCTACCCGTTTACTTCTTCTTTTGGAACTTGGGCTCTGGCAGCCAAGTTTGTACCACAAAACCTGCCCTCCATGACCACATTAAACTGGTCTAAAAAAAGATAACTGACTCAAGCTAAACCAGTTAGATTCTTTCTTCTTAGAATCTGGGATCGTGCCTCTGTCCTGTTTGCTTGAGCTGAGATGATAGGAACTTGGAAACTCGGGTTACTATGGTTGGGCAGCCCTAGCTGGCCACATGTATACCAAAACAAAGTGAGTCTTCTGAGAGAGAAAAGAACAGCAGATGTTCCACAAAGTAGAGATAAGAGAGAGAGAAAATCTGAGACGGAACTTTAATGACTACCTGGGTGTCAGCTTTCCATTCTGGTTCCAGACCCTTATGACATCTAAATATAATTTTTACCCTTAGGTTCAGTGAGATATTGCAGTTTCCATCTAATAAATTCTCTTTTTAATCTAAACTAATTTGAAATAAGTTTGTGTTACTTGGAACTAAAAGAGTCTTCAGACAATTCTAAAATCACAGTGTTAGTTCAATTATTTCAACACACTCAGCACTTACATCTCGTGTGCTATTAATGTCAGGAAAAAAAAATAGTATCAGCAGCATTTTTAAGTCACTTGTTCAAAGAAATTACCCTAGAAAGGCTGTGTAACTCTAAGTGGGAGAAGGGGAAAACAGGAAAAAAAAGAGCACAAGAGTCTTCATAGAAATATGCTTTGAGCAACTTTTAAAAGAGGAAGGAATAATAGAGCATGAGAAGAGTAGTTATATAATAAAAATTTTGCCCTTTCTCGCCAATTTTATCAGAAACATGGCCAAACTCATTACAAATATATTAAATCAGTATTAGGTAGCAAAAGAGTATTTTATTCTCATACAAAAAGAGAAAGTCCAGTCAGAGGTATGTGGCTGAGTTCATGCAGACTCATCACCAGTACCAGCCTCCCATCAATTCTAAGGTCCCACTGAAATGCTATGAAAATTGTTCTCTGTGTGAAGAGTGAAACCGTAACAGCATTATAAAACAGGGAAATATGCCACCAACAGACCCGAAATTACATGGAATCCCATGAAGAGAAAAACCAAGTAGAATCAGAGTTGTGGGAAGATTAGAGTAGAGGAAACCTTACATACAGGGGTAGACAAAAGTCGGTTAACAATAATAATAAATACAATAAGTAATAAGTAAATAATATAAGAATAAACTGTGTTTCCCATATTCACACCTGCAAACCTACTTTGCCCGCCCCTGGATAAGCTTGGCTCCCAACAAGAGTGGCCAGAGAAGCCTCAAGTTCAGAGTCTACAAATATAAAGAATGGGAATAGTCAAGGAGATGATCATTAGGGCATTTCATTAAAGTGCTTTCAGAACATTGGTTAATTAGGCTCCTCCTCTTCCCAACACCAAAATAAGGAAATAAAAGGCACAACTGGTCTCAATAATGTGCCCTCAAGTCACAGCCCAAGCTGTGTGTGGAAAGGGGCCTCCTTCCCAAAGAGGAAGCTGGACTCCAAGGGAACAGGGCTTGGCTTTACTCCAGACATCCCCTGAAGACACAAAGGACAACTGAAAAAACAAACGCGCTGAGGGGGACTAAGAGGGAAATACATTGCATTAATTTTCCACAGTATAATAAATTACCACAAACTTAGTGGTTTAAAACAACACATGTGTATTGTCTCATAGTTTCCACAAGTCAAGAGTCCAGGCTCAGTTCAGCTGGCTCCACAGCTCAGGGTCTCACAAGGCTGCAGTCAAGATGTCGCCAAGGTGCCTTCTCATCTGGGGGCTTGAGTGGGGAAGAACCCGCTGGCTCTTGGAAAAATTCATTTTCTTGCAGCTGTAGAACTCATGGAGTCTGCTTCCTCAAGACCAGCAGGAGCATCTGTGAGTTCAGGGAAGGCCCCGGTCCCTCTTTGAGAGTATTCATCTGATTAAGTCAGGCCCACCCAGGAAAATCTCCCTTTTAATTATCTCAGAATCAACTAATTTAGGACTGTAATTACATCTGCAAAATCCCTTTTCTTTGCCATGTAATGTGATGGAATTAAAGCAGAAACAACCCCAGCTTGTTTGCCATGAACTGGTGGTTGGTAGCAAATCAGTTTCCACCCATGTATACTAAAGGGTATGGAATTACAGAAGGGGAATACCATCCTGCCCTCCTGCTGTCTTCCCACACACCCCAAAAGGAAGCCTCCGTATGTGACACAGACCCAATATTCACAGTTACAAGGTAGACCCAGTCTCAGTACCTGTAATAACCCACAAGGTCCTTCATTTAGAACAAAGATCACTAGACACTTGAGAAAACCAACTTCCAAAAAGCAAGTCCTCTCCAGTGGGCAGCATCTAAGATGGCTTAGTTGTTAGCTGTCTTTTTAGTGATGGCTGCCTTCTGGTAATATTCATGTCCCTACGTCGTCCCTCCCTCCTTCTGAGTGTGAGCTAGACCTATGTGACTCACTGCTAAAGAACAGAATATGGCAAAAATGATGGCATGGCACTTCCAAGATCAGTTTATAAAAAGACTGGCTTTTATCTTGCTTGCTTCTCGTAGCTGCTGTCTTGCTGATTTGCTCAGAGGGAAATCAGTGCTATGTTGTGAGCTGCTCTATGGAGAGGTTCACACAGGCAGAAACTGACAGAGGTCGCTGGCCAGTAGCTGATGAGGAACTGAGGTGTCAATTAATTTTCCACTGTATAACAAACTACCACAAACTTAGTGGTTTAAAACCGATGAGGAAGTGAATCCTGTCAACAACCATGTGAACCTGGAAATGGACCCTCCCTCAGCTGAGCCTTTAGATGAGACTGCAGACCTGGCTGTGACCTCGATTGTTGCCTTGTGAGAAATTCAGGCAAAGACACCCAACTAAAACATACCTGTATTCCTGACCCACAGAAACTGTGAAGAGACAATAAATTGTTTATTATATATTTCAAGAATTGTGGAATAAATTGTTAAGCAGCAATAGATAATAAATGCAGCCCCAAATGAACACACAAAAGGATGCTAGAAGATAAAAGGTGAATTCGGGCAACAGAGGTTTATTATCACCAGAGGGATATGGAAGGATATCAGAGCTTACATTAAAAAGGTAATCAGATAACAGAGGAGTTCTTGGAAACCAAAACAATGATTATTAAAATTTTACAGATAAAAAATAAAATAAAATTTCACAGATCAATGAATGTGCTAACCAATAAGCCAGGCACGGCCGAAGTCTAAGCTGGGTGACTGGAAAGATAAAGGACACTGAATGAAAATACAAAAGATTGGAAATATGAAAAAAAAATTGAGCAACACAGAGTATAGATCCAAGAGGTCTAATATCTATCTAATGGAAGTTCCAAAGGGGAAAAAAATACATAAGCTGTGCTGGGGAAGAAATCATCAAGAAATGAAAGAAACCTTCCCTGAACCAAACACAGCACAGTTCAAATGTGAAAGATAATCTAGACAGGATGAATGAAAACATTTCATTCCCTGACACATCCTGGTAAAATAGCAGAGCTCTAAGGCTAGAGAAAAATGATAAAAGCTTCCAAAGGAAAAATCACAGATTATCTTTAAAAAGTGACAGTCAAGGTGACATACTTCTCAATCGGTAACTTTGGGTGCTAGCTCACAATAAAGAATTGAAGGGAAAATATTTTTTAACTTAAATTCTCACCCCAGGCAACCAATTGACAGACCAAGTGCCAGTTCCAAAGAAAAACAGTTTGGTAAACTCCACACTTATAACAGGAGAAAAATTATGAGGACTTTTCTAACAAAATAAAACATAAAACAAAGATAGAAGATGAAT